GGAACAAGAATTTGAAACGGAAGTGGATAGTTGTCCAGGCTTGGAACAAGAATTTGAAACGGAAGTGGATAGTACTATCGATTTGACAGGTAGTCCTTTCTTTTTCTCGGACAACAATGTTTTTACTGCAATGGGGTGCAACACTCGAGCTTTAATGACTGACCACACTCCTCAACTTGTCGGTTGTGACTCTCATTGCCCCGGCGGCCAGAAAGATATTGATTGGCGAAAAACTTTTTCTGGACTTGTTACACAAGTTAGCTATTATTGGCATGATAAAAACAGATGGCTGGTAGAAAAAAATTGTAATGGTTCTAATTATTGCTGCCAGATCTATATACCTCCTTTTCTTCAGGTTTTTAAACCAAGTTTACAGGCTGAAAATAATAACCAAAGCGAAGATGGTTGTAGGTTAGCTTTTTTGACAGACGGAACAGGACAGGCTTTTCCGAAAGGAAAAGATCCACTTCTGCACTTTCCGATGGAGCTTCAGTGGATTATCGATTCCGGTGACTGGGAATATAACTCTTCCACCATGTATTGTCATGAATGGAAAGATAAAACTTCCAGTCCAAAATATGTAAATTGCCATTGCGACTTTGGATATGAGGGCAATGCTTACCTTGGATGTACAGGTAAAATTTTGTGGGTTTTTTTTTTTTTTTGTTGATTTGTTAGCAAAAATAAGAATCCAAACACTTGGTTTTCTCATCTTGATCTTGTCATGGCAGATGTTGATGAATGCAAACAATCTCGACAGTGTTGGGGAATGACAAAATGTGAGAATACACCTGGCTCATACAAATGTGTGGTGGATTCCAAGTGGATTATCATTTTGAGTAAGAACTTTTCTGGTTGCCCCTTTTCATTAGCAATTATTATACATTTTGGTTGCCCCTTTTCATTAGCAATTATTATACATTTTCCGACATTAATTCATACATTTCTGGTTTCCCTTTATCTGGTTTTGCAGTTATAGGTGGTGTCATTGGGGTACTAGCAATATTATTTGTTATTTGGTGGGTGTACAAGTGCTTGAAGAAGAGAAAGAAGATTGAACTCCGAAAAAAATTCTTTAAAAGAAATGGTGGTTTGTTGTTACGAAAACAGTTATCTTCAAGTGATGGTAGCCTTCAAAGTACAAAAATATTTAGTTCAAAAGAGTTGGCAAAGGCTACTGACGGTTTCAATGAGAATAGAATACTTGGTCAAGGTGGTCAAGGCACAGTCTTTAAGGGAATGGGGAATGCTTGTAGATGGAAGGATTATAGCAGTGAAGAAGTCAAAATTAGTAGATGAGAAAAAACTACAAGAATTTGTTAATGAAGTTTTCATTCTCTCCCAAATTAATCACAGAAATGTGGTTAAGCTGTTAGGATGCTGTTTGGAAACTGAAGTTCCTTTGTTAGTCTATGAGTTCATACCAAATGGATCTCTCTACAATTATCTTCATGACAAGAATGAAGATGTTCCATTTACATGGGAAATGAGATTGAAGATTGCTAGCGAAGTTGCTGGAGCGCTTGCTTATTTGCATTCTGCAGCTTCTATTCCCATTTATCACAGGGATATCAAATCTATGAATATACTTTTGGATGAGAAATACAGGGCAAAAATATCGGATTTTGGAACTTCGAGATCTATTTCCATTGATCAAACTCATTTGACGACTCGTGTTCAAGGTACTTTCGGTTACTTAGATCCTGAGTATTATCGAACGTACTCTAGATCCTGAAGTATTATCGAACGAATCAAATTTACAGAGATACAGAGAAGAGTGATGTTTACAGCTTTGGAGTCGTTCTTGTCGAGCTTTTAAGTGGAAAAAAGCCGATATTTTGTCCGAGTTCACAGTCAGCTGAAATGGTGAGTTTAGTCGTACATTTCAATCTCCTGATGGAAGAGAACAGACTATTTGACATGGTTGATGCCTGTATAATGGAGCATTGTTATGAAGAAGAAGAAATTGCAGCAGTCGCCAATCTTGCAAAAAGATGCTTAAATTTAGATGTAAAGAAACGACCTACTATGAAAGAAGTTGCTATGGATTTGGAAGGGATTCGATCATCACGGAGCGATCATGTCCAAGAAAATAATGAAGATGTCCCTAATGAAGTAACAGCCATATGGGATTCTGATATCTCAACCTCTGAGTTCAACGATACAAAAGCTATGTCTTTAGAAGTTGTGCCTTTCATTGATTACAAATCTTGGTGATCAAAAAGTTCTCTGAAAGCACAATTTTCCAACAAGTGGTCAAAAAATTATGTGGGTTGTTAATATCAGTCTTAATATTAGAAACTCAACAACATGTATCAGAGTATTACGTAGTGTTTATGATATTACTTATTAGTGATATTCTTCATTTGTATTGATTTTTCTTTTTTGGCTCACAGCAATTTCTTTCTTTCTCAAAAAATAAAAAGAAGAGAAAAAATGGCAGCTTCATGGTTGTTTATGTCTCAACTGCGATGAGTTTCTTTCATCAGTCGTAATATTTACGAAGGGTGCAATATGATTGAATTAACTGATCTCTCTAATGTATTCTAAAGTTTAAATGTATATTACATTGTTTACCATTTTTTATGTGATTAGTAAATAAAATATTAATAACTTGAAATATTTGAAAAAAAAAATATTATTTTTGATTTCTCATCAATAAATCAACAGCGTCTAGAAAAAGTTGTTGCTTTCATTCCCTTAGAAAAACGTTTGTGTGCTTTCAATACCAACCATTATTTACAGTTTTATCGTTGTTTTGATTCTTTGTGAAGTAAATTAAATTAACTTTATCTTGGTTTTGATCTTTGTGAAGTAAATTAATTAACTTAATTTTGTAATCACACAGTTCTAAGAAGAGGCAATAAACAATTGTAAAGCTCCAAAGCTAAAGTTGTCTATTACAGTACAAATTTAGATGGGTTGTAGGAATTTAGCATGGATTTGATGGTTGAGTCAAATTTTGGCAGCTCTCTAGGACTTTCTTGGAAGCTTTTTTCATATTCTTATTAAATTAAATTAATTAATTGATAACATTAATTTTGTTCAGTGGATGGAATCTTTCCAACTCCTAGAAAAAACATTGGAATCATTTCGACTATTTTTTCCATCTAATACCAAATCAAAACTATAATTATTATTATTATTCTATTTTATTTAAAAAGTAATGAATATTTCAAACTAGCATGGATAACATGGGAATGAGTGTTTTTTTTTTTTTTTAACCCTTCTCAATCCTTGAATTTGGTAGGTTAAAAACAGAGAAATTTACTTTTCAAGACCCTCAAACAATTTAAAAATTTTATCCTACTTTTATCTTACCTCCAAAATCCTTTTAAGTACCCTCCATGCTTTGGTCTCTTCCCATGGAAAATTAAAATGGAATCAAATCACGTGATCAAACATACTATATCTGTATGACTCAGACTGACTATGTATGGTGCGACTCTGCCTAGCTACTCGTGAATCAAGTCCATTAAGGATTACTTAATTAATTAATTTATGCTTATAAGGAAACATAATAATAAAATATATATTTTTTAAGAGACAAGGGAAATTTTGAACCCACTTAAGTATGTTGAAATTTGGTTTAGCTGTTGATAGAATTTCATAGTTGATGCCTCGTATAGTAATTAGCTTACGGGTAGAATTTTAATAGCAATTGCTATTAAAATGTAAATGTCTATCAATGATATAATTGTTTTTATATATTATGATATATGTATATATATTTGTTTAATTTTTTAAATAAATATATTATTTAATTTTTTTAAAATAATATTGAATAGAAAATTATTTTTTTAAATAACTGTAAACAATATGATAATTAATTTGAAAAAATAATTTTGTTATTAATTATTTGTATGAAGTTAATCCAAATATAATATAATCAGTTGAATCAAATGCTCTCATTAGGTCTTTTTCAAAAAAAAAAAAAAATGATTTAATAACGTAAACAATATGATAATTAAATAACAAAAATTATTTTTTTCAAAGATTAATTATCATATTGTTTACGAGTTTATTTAAAAAAATAATTTTTCTATCAAATATTATTTTAAAAAAAATTAAGATAAATATATTATTTAATTTTTTAAAATAATATTGGAATAGAAAATTGATTTTTTTAAATAACGTAAAACAATATGATAATTAATTTGAAAAAAAATAATTTTGTTATTAATTATTTGTATGAAGTTGAATCCAAATATAATCATATCAGTTGAATCAAATTGCTTCTCATTTTAGGTCTTTTCAAAAAAAAAAAAAATGCTCTCACTAGTTATAAAAAAAAAAAAAAAATGCTCTCACTAGGTTATTTTTGAATTGTACATGAAATTATCTAATTATCTTTGTTAAAAACAATTTATTTATTATATTAAAAAGAATATCTAATCTATATAATAGATATTGAGATGAATAATTCGACATCTTACTCGCTTAATAAGTGAAGTTGGGAGATCGATCTCATGGATAAAATAAACAAACAGTGAATACATCTAAGACATATATAAATTAAAATAAAATACCTTTGAAAAAAAAAGTATCATCCCTGTAACTGTTAATACATTTAAGATGATATAATTATTTTTATATTTATATTAAATTAAAATAAAACACTTGTGTTGGACTATCTCACATTAATTAAGTGTTAAAAATATAAAAGGAATATAATTATTTGAAGCCAACCACTCAAATGATTAACTTTAGCAAGTCTGTTAATAATTTGACCTCGTTCAACTTTTATACTGTCAATCCTTTTCTATTCCACCTCCTTCCAAAATTGAAATTGAAAATTTTGCAAGTTGAAACCTACTTTTTTCGTCTTTTCACCCAAAACATGTGAATGGAGTGAAAAAGGTGATCCATTATGTTTCAATATAATAAAATTTTTTATCATCTTTTTCCCTCCAACACTAGCTAAAAGGGAATCAAGCCACGTGGTCAAAAAACAAAACTATAGTATATAACAAATAATAACTCTCTTAAAACATGTGTCTTTTGAAATTAATTAGGCAGATACATATAAAATATTGCAAAGTGCTCAAAAAGATAAAGCTCCGGAATCTTAATTAATTCCCCCAAAGTTGCCTTTCTAAATTTTTCTTTTTGAAAAATGGAGTACAAGTAAATAATATTTTTGCAAGTACATATCCAGATATGAGTTGAATCAAATTTCTCCAAGTTCACTAATAGTACAAGAAAACCAACAATGGCTGTGAAATTAGTGTATCTAATTTTCACTTACAGTTTCTCAGTATTGCTAGTTTTGCAGCTTGCAAGAGCAGAGCCACCTTACACGAAGCCCACCTGCAAAGATTTCCAATGCGGAAATGTAACCATTAGATACCCATTTGGGTTGAACAGAGATTGCTATTTGGATCAAAGATTTGAGATTTGGTGCAATAGATCTACCAATCCTCCAACAGCTATTATAAGAAGCGTCAATTTGGAGGTTATCGACATGGATTGGGACGTTATATATGTCAAAAGTCCAGTAAAATCAACGAACTGTACAGATTTGGGATTTGAAATGAAGCCGGAACTGAACGCCGCTATTAATTTAACAGGAACTCCTTTCTTCTTCTCTGATAGGAATGTTTTTACTGCAGTAGGGTGCAACACACGCGCTTTAATGACAGATGGTACGACTCAACTCGTCGGTTGTTACTCTCATTGCCCTGGTGGACGGCAAGATATTGACTGGCGGAAGACGTTTGCGAAGCTTGTTATACAAGGTAGCTATGGGCCGACGCCTGAAGGTAGCTGGCTGATAGACAAGAACTGTGATGGTTCGAATTATTGCTGTCAGATCACTATACCTCCTTTGGTTCAGGTTTTTGATCCAAGTCTACAGGCGAAAGATAGTAATCAAGGGAAAGATGGTTGTAGGTTGGCTTTTCTGATAGACGGAACAGCGAAGGTTAAAGAAACGCTTCTACAAATTCCTTTGTCGCTGGCGTGGATTATCGATTCCGGTGACTGGGAATATACATCCGCCACCATGGTTTGTGCTGCTACTGTTCGAGATGAATCTTCCAATAAAAGATTTCTTGAATGTAATTGCAAAAATGGCTATGAAGGCAATCCTTACCTTGGATGCACAGGTAAAATTTGCTTCTTTTTTATTTTTTATTTTTTTGCCTGTGGTATTCATCATTATTATTTTTTTAAATTATTCATAATTTAGTTTGTTAGTCAAAAGCAATTAAGAAAATAGTTACTATTTTCTTTTCTTTTGTCTTTTAATTTAATTAATCTAAATGAGTTCCACTTGCTAATTAAAGTAACAAGTAGGTTCTAAATTAGCCTGTTAGAAAAGATAAGTATTTAATCAAATATTTTATTTTTAGTAGTATGCTTAAATCGTTAGGTTCCAATATGTGAATTCTCATTGTAACAAAATTAAAAATTTTTATGTTTCACTTTTTTTTTTTTTTTTTTTCACTTTGCTAATTAAAGTTCACAAGTTAGGTTCTAAAATTTAGCGCTGTTAGAAAAGAATAAGTATTTAATTCAAATATTTTAATTTTTGAGTAGTATGCTTTTAAATCGTTTAGGTTCCAATATTTTGTGAAAGTCTCACTTGATAACCAAAATTTTAAAAATTTTATATGTTTCACTTTTTTTTTTTATTGTTTTGGAAAATTATTTATAAGCAAATAATTGTTTGATGAAATATTGAAATGAATTAAAAGATATCAGCCCAATACTTAACCTATAAAGACCATAAAAAAACTATTTAGGACTATGAAATTTCATAATTTGAAAATTTGTATTGTTGAAATATGAAAAAAATGAATAAAATTGATACAGTTGTGATAGCGTGCTGGTGGCGTGAGGTAATGGCTCAACATTAATTAATAAATTAAGAAAAGTGTATTTACTAGATCAAAATAAGTTGGTCTAAGTGTATTGAAAAATATTTTCTACCCTTGAAATGAGAAGTTATTTTCTTTAAAATAACTTAATTATTCCCCCCTTTTGACTTTGTAAAGTATGTTTTCATAATTTAATTTTGCAAAACACCGAAACAAACCTGCGAAAAATATATTTTAAACAAAGTTTTATTTTCTATTTTTTTTTTTTTTTTTTGGAAAATATTTTCAAGCAAATAATTGTTTGATTGAAATATTGAAAATTAATTAAAAGATATCAGAATACTTAACCTATAAGACCATAAAACTATTTAGGACTATAGAAATTTCATAATTTAAAATTTTATTGTTTAAATATGAAAAAAATGAATAAAATTGATAAGTTGTGATAGTTGCTGGTGGCGTGGTAATGGCTAACATTAATTAATAAATTAATAAAAGTGTATTTATAAGATCAAAATAAGTTTGTTAATGTTTGAAAAATATTTTCTACCCTTGAAAATGAGAAGTTATTTTCTTTAAAAATAACTTAATTTTCTTTTGACTTGTAAAGTATTTTTCATTAATTAATTTTGCAAAACACGAAAAACCTGGAAAATATATTTTAAAACAAGTTATTTTCTAGAAATGAAGGGAATCTTAATAACTAAAAAAAAAAAAATTTGATAATTTAAGTTATATTACTCTATTAAAATTATGTGCAAAAGCTTAATCCACAATTTTCATATGTTGGTCTTATGATACTAGATATTGATGAATGCAACAAACATGGGAATTGCCGGGGAATGACAAAATGTGTCAATACTCCTGGATCGTATAAATGTGTAGTGGACTCCAAGTGGATTATTATTTTAGGTAAGTCATTTTTTTTTTAATTAAACTAAAGTATATCAATTTTGAAATGGGATGAACTATAATTTAATTATTTTATTATAATTGAAAATATTAGCAAGACATATATATTCCTTTTTCTGGTCTGGTCTTGCAGTTTTAGGTGGTGTTCTTGGAGTATTGGGAGTTCTGTTTTTTGCTATTGAGCGGATGTACAAGAACATTGCACGCAGAAAGAAATTCTTTAAAAGAAATGGAGGTTTGTTGCTACAACAACAATTATCTTCAAGTGATGGTAGTCTTCAAAATATAAAAGTATTTAGTTCAAAAGAGTTGGCAAAGGCTACTGATGGTTTCAATAAGAATAGAATTCTTGGTCAGGGTGGTCAAGGCACAGTCTTTAAGGGAATGCTCGTAGATGGAACAATTATTGCAGTAAAAAAGTCGAAATTACTAGATGAGAAAGAACTGCAAGAATTTGTTAATGAAATTGTTATTCTTTCCCAAATTAATCATAGAAATGTGGTTAAGCTGTTAGGATGCTGTTTGGAAACTGAAGTTCCTTTGTTAGTCTATGAGTTCATACCAAATGGATCTCTGTACAACTATCTACATGACAAGAATGAGGATGTTCCTTTTACATGGGAAATGAGATTAAAGATTGCTAGTGAAGTTGCTGGAGCCCTTGCTTATTTGCATTCTGCTGCTTCTATTCCTATTTATCACCGCGACATTAAGTCTACTAATATACTTCTAGATGAGAAATACATAGCAAAAGTATCGGATTTCGGAACTTCAAGATCGATTTCCATTGATCAAACTCATTTGACTACTCGTGTTCAAGGTACTTTCGGTTACTTGGATCCTGAGTACTTTCGGTCGAATCAATTTACAGAGAAGAGTGATGTTTACAGCTTTGGGGTTGTCCTTGTTGAGCTTTTAAGTGGGAAAAAGCCAATACTTTGTCCAAGTTCACAATCAGCTGAAACGGTAAGTTTAGTTTCACATTTTAATCACTTGATGGACGAGAAGAGACTTCTTGACATTGTTGATGACCATATTAAGGAGCATTGTTATGAAGAAGAAGAAATTATTGCAGTTGCTAATCTTGCAAGACAATGCTTAAGTTTAGATGGAAAGAAACGACCCACAATGAAAGAAGTTGCTATGGAGTTGGAAGGGATTCGATCATCGCGGAGCGACAATGTTCAAGAAAATACAGAAGAAATTGAACATGTCCCTGATGAAGTAACAGCTGGGTGGGATTCTGGTATCTCAACCTATTTTTTCCATGGTAAAGCTTTGTCTTTAGAAGTTGATCCTTTCATTTCTTACAATCTTGGTGATTATAAAGATGTCTAGAAGCACATTTTTCGAGTTCTTTATTGTAATTGGAAACTGAAGAATGTGTTAGTATTGCATAATGTTTATTATATTAATGATATTTTATCTTTTATTGAGTATGGTTTCTATACATTAAAATTGTATAGCAGAATTACATAGGTATATGCAAACATAATATCAGATCTAAAGAGCTTGGAAAGCTAAACTATGCTGTTATCTGCTTCTACAAGGGGTATTCACATATAACAATTGCTTTACAAAATTGGATCTAGCTCTTGACAGAAAGTTCTACAAAGCTTTGGAAGCTAAACTATGCTTTCTTGCTTCTATAACGACATCTGACAATTGCTTTACAACATCTATCATTGTCGGTCGGTTGCTCGGCTCCCTCTCAGTACATCTCAATGCAAGTAAAAGCACACCAGTAATTTGTTCTGCAATATTTGAATCAACAGTTTCCTCTATTAGGCTTGAATCAATAATGGCGGTGATTTTTTGAGTCTCACTCCAAACAGACCTAACCCATCCAACAATATCCATTTCATCCACAAATGATGAATCCAGTGGCTTCTTTCTTGTTATTAACTCGAGCAAAATCATGCCATAACTATATACATCAGATTCCTTGCTCGATGCTGTCATAAATGCATTTTCTGTCATGGTCAAAGTAGACTACATATCAGAAAGCTGCAAATTTATATAGAAATGAAAGGGCAGTAATACCTAATAGAAATTTGGAAAAGATAAATCACCTGGTGCAATATATCCAACTGTACCAGCAATTGAGGTGGATGGTGTTGAATGATCAAGAAGCTTAGCAATGCCAAAGTCAGAGATATGAGGTTCCATTTCAGAATCCAATAGTATATTCTGTGGTTTGATGTCTCTATGCAATATGGGTGGATCACAATCATAGTGAAGATAAGCCAATCCATGAGCAGTTCCAATGGCTATTTTATATCGATCCCTCCATTCCAGCCTTTGTGGCCGATTCATTGCATATAAAACGTCATAAAGACTCCCATTTTCCATATACTTGTACAAGATTAATCCATAGTCCTTTCTAAACCAAAAGTTTTCAACTTTGACCAAGTTCCGATGCCTGATTTTCTCAATAATTTGAATCTCTCTAACCATGCTTCGACTTCCATCTTTGTCTTCTGCAAATTCAAGCTTCTTCACTGCAAAAACATTGGATGGACCTAATTCTGCTTTAAAAACAGCTCCATGAGCTCCCTTTCCAACAATAAAGCTTTCATTTAGATTACGAGTTGCCCGCATTATTCGGTTCAGTAGAGGGTCATCATCATCCTCTTGCGTAGACTTGCAAAATTCCTGCTGCTTTCTTCTTCTGCAAAGTAGAAACATAAAAGCTAATCCCAGAAGCAGAACAACACCTAGTGATGATCCAAGGGAGATCATCGCAATTTCTGTTTTACTAAGGATTTTCCCATTTTTGGAAATACCATCACAAACTCTGAAATTTCCATTTCCCTTGCAATTCAATCCATTTGACATAGCACAGTTGACACACAGGCCAGGATTGCCCAAAAATGAGGCATTCACTAATTTCATCAGTTTTTCTGGTATTGGACCAGTGAAGCGGTTATAAGAAATATTAACTTCCATTAGTGACTGCATACTATTAAGAGCATCTAAACTTCCTGTCAGGTTGTTGCTAGAGATATCAAGACTTTGTAGGTTGGTCAAATCCCCAAGTGATGAAGGAATATTACCAATCAATCCATTATTTCTAAGATTCAAACCATATTGCAGATTCTTCAGTTCTCCAATCCAAGAAGGAATCTCCCCTGCCAACATGTTTCCACCCATACTTAAAAGACTGAGCCTTTTAAGTTCTTTAAGAAATGGTGGAATGCCACCAGTAAATTGATTTTCTTCTAAAATTAAAGTCGATAAACTAGTCCAATTCCCCAAACTTGATGGAATTGAACAGTTCAATGAGTTGAAACCAACATCAAACACGTCTAATTTCTTCCAGGTCGATAACTGAGAAGGGAAACAACCTTGTAAACGGTTATGTGCCAGAAACATTTCTGTAAGGTTTGCAAGATTACCAAGCTCTGAAGGAATAAAACCAGTAAGCTTATTCATGGACAAATCAATGAAAGTGAGATTAGTGCAGTTCCCCAGGTTTGATGGAATTTTTCCAGTGATGCTGTTGCCACTGATATTCATGTATGCAAGGTTCAGATTTTCGGGAAATTCTGGAATAACCCCTGAGAGGTTATTATGGTTAAGTTGCAGTCTCCAGAGAGTTGGGCAACTTCCCACATCAACTGGTATGCTCCCTTGAAAGTTGTTATAACCTAAATTCAAAACTCTTAAATGCTTCCTAAAGCAAAGGTTTGGTGGAATTGTGCCAGTAAACTGGTTATACATCAAATCCAGTACCTCTAAGCTACTGTTAACTCCTAAACTTTGAGGTATGACTCCAAAGAACCGGTTATTATACAACATGAGGCCATTTAGATGCTTGAGTTGTGTCAACTCCAAGGGTAATTCACCTGAAATATTGTTCATATACAAAAGTACATGTTCCAGGCTTTGAATTTTCCAGATACTAATTGGAATCTCACCGGTCAATCGGTTCTCATACAATTCAAGATTCGTCAGTTCACTCAACATTCCCAATTCACTTGGAATTTCCCCCTCAAGTTGGTTAGTATATAACTTCAATTTTTTCAATTTCTCACACTTCCCAAGTTCAGGTGGGATTTTCCCAGACAAACTATTCTCAAAAAGGTAAAGCATTGAAAGATTACCCAGCAAGCCATAAGAAGAAGGGATATTGCCCGTTATTAATTTGTTACCTCCAATGATCAACTGTTCTAAGCTACTACAGTTGCCCAGACCTGGTGGAAGACCTCCACTAAAGCTATTGTATGACAAATATAGAATTTTTAAATTCATGCAATTGCCCGAACCAAAACTAATATCACCCGCAAGACCGTTGTCGTTGACATATAAATATTCAAGATTATCGAGAATATTCAGACTCTGAGGCAAAAGTCCAACCAATTTATTCTCACCCAAAAAAAGTCGTTTCAATTTACTACAATTCCCTATTGAATCAGGAATATTACCTACTAATTGATTGCTTGTTAGCCATATTTCAGAAACCTCGCTCAAATTCCCAACATTATGAGGAATTGAACCATTAAAACTGTTTGAATCCAAGAATAATTTCTCTAAACCATGAACTTGAAAAACCCATTCAGGAATTTCTCCATTTAGTGAATTACTATAAAGACTCAATATCTTTAAATTCTGCAGGTTTTGCAAGCTATAAGGTATTTCTTTAGTAAAGAAATTTTGAGAAAGATCTAAACTTTCGAGCAGAGAGCAATTACTTAGCTGTGATGGAATCGCACCAAAGAAACTATTATTGCTCAAATCAAGGATTTGCAAATGGGTCAAATTTGCAATTTCAGGTCCCAATTGACCAGAAATAGAATAACCAGAAAGAGTTAAATAAATTACATCGTGGGTATTATTGTTACATTCAATCCCTACCCATGAACAAGGAGTGGCATCAGAGAAACTCCAATTAGTGGTTATTGAAGAAGGCACAGATGTCCAGCGCTTCATTAGAGATAATAAAGCCAACCCATCAGAGTTTAATGCAGAAACAAAGAGAATTGATACATTTAACGGCAAAAGGAGTATCAAAATAAGCTTCATATTTTGCAAGAGGAGAGGAAAGTTGCTACACTGACCTGCAAAGTGTACCTCTATGTGCAGTGCAAGTAAACTTTTGAACGGTTTAAAGACTCCTTTTTTTGAGTTTGAAGGTACTGTTAAGGATTGAGTTATTGAGAATATAGTAGGAAAACAGGGTCGGATTTAGATGCCAATGGAGAACGGAATCTATGTCTTCATTCACTATTATTTAAAGGGAAAAAGAAATGAAAATGGTAGTGCCTTACTAGTTCCTTGTCGGCTGGTCCTGCAGTGGAGACCAGAGAGTTGGTGGTTTTAGACTTTGAAATTCGAATAAGAACACGTTTTTCCAAATTAAAATATAGTATATAAAAAAATAAAATTGTACAATTAGGTTGATGATATTTTCAATTAAACTGAAAAATTATAAATGAATTTTCTCTCTTTTTTAAATAAAAAAATTAAAAGTAAATAGCTACGCTAAACAAAATTTAGTACAATATAAAATTTCCAACTATAATATTATGTTATACTTCAAAACAAAATTTTTCAATCCTCCTCAGAAAGCTGAAAAGGATTGAATTAAATGAAAAATAAAAGTCCACCAGTATTTGCTTCTGACTATAATTGAATAAATAAAAAATGACTTTGACCGTGCAAATTCCAAAGTCAGAATATTCCTCTTTTTTTTTTTTTTTTTAACATTAGGTGACGAATATAGAAGAAATTTCCAACTATTAATATTATGTTAGACTTCAAAACAAAATTTTTTCAAGCTCCTCAGAAAGCGTGAAAAGGACTTGAATTAAATGAAAAATAAAAGTCCAAACCAGTATTTCCTTCTGACTATACAGTTGAATAAATAAAAACATGACTTTGCACGTGCAAATTCCAAAGTTCAGAATGTATTCCTCTTTTATTTTTTTTTTTCTGTATATAAACAGCAAAGTCAGCGACTCTTTTTTTTTTTTTTTGTTAACAGCAAGTCAGCGACACCAACCTAACAGACTGTTGTTCGCATTTCATTTTCAGTCTTTTCTTTTTCATGCTTGTGCTATTTATTATTTTGCTTTTTGATATTTCTTCTCTTTTTAATTTTTAAAAATAAATATAGACAGATTTTCAAAAACATACACACATATATATATATATATATATATATATAGGAAGAAAAAAAATCCTGCAAACTTAATAATTTATAAATTTAACAATCTCTTATCATAATGGACAATACATATTATACTTCGTTAGAACTTACTAAATATATGTTGAACAATTTAAAAAATCAAATCCAGACGCATAATTAGATGATACACTGCCAATTGTAATGGAATTGCCATTAATTTAGGATAACTTCTATAATCCTTAAGGTTTGACTCTAATTAGTATTTAGGCATATAGTTTGACCAAATAACCTAGTCATTTGAAACATTTAGATCTATTAAATTATTTAGTCATTTGAAACATTTAGATCTATTAAATCATTTAGTCATTTTATCTGTTAATTTAACTATAATTTAGTAACTAATTTTTTATTTTTCCTTTATTTTTTGTAGGTAATCATCCAATAATTGAATGTTATTTCATAATATAACATATTTACTCTCAATTGAGTAATAGAACGAAAACAAAAACAACGATTTATGACAATTGAATAATAATAAAATATTTATTTAATTGGTTTGATGTATGAGCTGACGATAAATTAAGAGTGGTTTTTTCTTTTGTAAACACAGGATAAAAATTTAAAACAGTAGCCACTGTTTTGATTTATTTATTTTTTTATTTTGTTAATCAGGAAGTTTAATCTCTTTCAAGCTGTAGAGTATAAAAGTTTTTAACTCTTCTAACAAAGTACATTTTATTAAGATTAAATTTATATTTTCACTCTTATAAAGACAAATGCTTTGATTTATTTACAATAAATTAATAATTATCTTACACATAATATTAATAGCCACGTATGGATCCTTTGGCCTGCATAAATATAAATAGAAAAAAATTTATTTAGACCGAACATATAAGTTGATGTATAAAACAAACCAACGAGACAAAGGCACAATTGCATGTTAAAGCAGGCGATCCCCACGAAATTAAAAAACTAATCACATGTCTCTTTCTCTTTTGTTTTTTTTTTTTTTTTTTTTTTTTTTTTTTTTTTTTTTTTTTTTTTTTTTTTTTTTTGACATGATCTCTTTCTTCTTTGTTATTTATGCTTCAACGGCGGTTCGAATATATAGTTGGACGAGTCTAATACACTAAATCAAAGCTAGCTCATTTGTTTTTTTCTTTGTTATTCTAGAAAATGTCAATCAAATAATTAACCTAAGCACTCATTTTATTCTCAGAATATATACTTGTTGATAACGCATTACATTTGTCTACATTGGATTTATGGATCACTTATGAATTACTAAATATTGTTGATAACAGATCATGTTTTTCTTTATATCGAATAAAAAATGATTTTTCATTGATTTGATGTATAAATTGATGCATAAAGTGAGTCCAAACAAGTCAATTCGATACATATATATATTTTTCATATGTCTAATCAATAATTAATTGTCATTTAAAAATTTACTCTCTCCGTCTCAAAAAAAATAGTTCATCTTCTCTTTTTAGTTTGTCCCAAAATATAATTCACTTTCATTTTTGTATTATAGTTCATCCTTAAATTGTCTAATATACTTTTATTAAATTTTATCTTATTTTCAATAACCCTCATGTGTTATTTAAGATGGACATAATAGGAAAGTTATATGAATAAAATTGTCTTTTAACCATAATAATTGTCCTTTTAAACATACATAATTGTTACTTTCCTTTCTGTATGAAAACTAACAAGATATCTATATTTTTGGAACGAGGGACGTCAGCTTTTACTTACTACTTATCTTTGTTTTTTTAGTAAAAAAAGACACCTCCTATCCTTAGTCTTGACATCCAATTTTATCTTATTTTCAATAACCCTCATGTGTTATTTAAGATGGACATAATAGGAAAGTTATATGAATAAAATTGTCTTTTAACCATAATAATTGTTACTTTCTTAATCTGTATGAAAATAAAAAGTATACTATATTTTTGGAACGAAGGGAGTCACTTTTTATTACTACTATTTTGTTTTTTTAGTAAAAAGACACTCCTATCCTTATTTACACCAATTGTTATTATCAAGTTTGTTTTTTTCTTCTCTTTTTTTAGGTAAATTAAGGTTTGTTAGTGTATGCTTGTGATGCACGGATACGCGAGAGGCTTCATGTTTCCATGTAGATACGCAAGAGGCTTCACATTTCCGCGTTTTGAAAATGAAAATACCTGAAAACGGCTCGGAAATGTTTAGGGTTGTTTCCATAAATATTGAAAATCGGACACCTATTTTTCCTCCCCATAAACATTTCTTACATTAAAAAAAAAAAAATCAGATTTCAAATCCAAATCAAATTTGGATGATTTGCAAATCTTATTTGGAAAAGAACAAATAATTCTACTTTTAATTTTAATATTCAAAATTCAAATTCAACAGAATTTCATTATCTTTTTTCATTTTGACATTTGAATATTTTGTTTTCTTTTTTCTTTATTGAATACAAAACTTATGAATTGATTGTACTTTAAGAATTTTAAATGTAGAATTTCTAAATTTTTTTTTATTCCTATATTTTTTAAATTTTATAAATAAATCCCTATATTTTTTATATTTATGCATTTTTCCACCTTTCCGTTTTCCTTATTTTTTTAAAATGCCGTTAATTTTCGTGTTCATTCCGCGTTTCCTTGCCCGTGCATCATAGGTGTGTCCAGTCGGTGAACAAGTATTCTCTCCCAGTTTATTTTTGCTTAGTTAGTGGAACATATATATGACAGAATACACCCTAAAAGTCTAAAAGGCATCTCCTACTCCAAATGGTTCTGCAAATGCTGTCTCTAATCATCAAACTCTTATTAGTGCTGCAAATAATAGAACTAACAACGACAGCTCTGTCAGTAAAACGCCACTGCCAATCAGCCAAATGCGGAGGCGTCGATATCCAATACCCTTTCGGTACTCGGTTCGAGTGTTCAATGAACATCTGGTTCTTGATTAACTGTTCCGGTGAAAGACCTATCTTAAGCAGCATCGGCTTAGAAGTAATCAAAATTGAGTATTCAAACAGCCGATTACTCGTTAAGAGTCCATTAATTTCGAATAACTGCTCCGATCACAAAAGCGGACAAAATGTCACTTTTAGAGGGACGCCGTTCACTTTCTCCGGTTTCAACAGATTCGTGGTAGTAGGCTGCAACGGCAGCGCTTTGTTGACTCATGCTGAACCGAGTATTATCGGTTGCCAACCGACTTGCAGTAACAAGCGTGTAGCACGTGAAGAAGAAGCATCTCCTTGCGTCGGCAACATGTGCTGCCAAACGTCTATACCTTATTTTCTTCAAGTATTTAGTCCAAGATTTCAGGAAGTCGGAGAAGGAGAAAATAGTTGCATGATTACTTTCATTGCAGAAGAGACATGGATGAAGGACAATGTTAAAGATCCCAATAGAGTTCAAGAATGGGAATATGTTCATGTTCTTCTGGATTGGAAGATTAATGCTTCTGATTTGGGATGGTTAGGAATTGATGGGGAAACTACGGATGTTTTTACTGATTACTACGACGGAATTGATTTTCCTTACCCTAAAAATACATTCTTGATGTGTCGTGGTGGCTTCACCGGCAACCCTTATCTTCCTGAAGGATGTATCGGTGAAGGGTTACTTTCTCCTTGTTTTCTAGTAATTATATATATAATGTTGTTTTCAAGATAATTACACATGGTGTATGGGCGAACAACAAACCAATTCTATGAAGATTTTTTAAAAAATTGTTATTCTTTTATCATGTTTTTTTAGTGAATGGTTAAAAATACATTCATTAGAATTAAAAATTTATTTTTATTGATTTGGTATATGGATGAACTCATATAAGTTCTCCCCAAAAATAATAACATATATATGCAATAATACTTCATTAATAGCTTTAATTTTGAATTTTCAGATGTTAACGAATGCTTGGAACCAAAAGTGCATAGACAGTGCCGTGGATTCTGTACAAATACACGGGGCTCCTATAAGTGCATGGGTGGGATAATTATTATAGGTAAGCCTCTTAAGCTCTTAAATACATTTAACTAATTAGGTTATATTTTATTTTAGCATTTGAATAGATTCATTTTGGCATGAGTAGTCAAATGATTATGATAAATATATTGACTATGTCTTTGTTGAGCAGCTACTAGTGGAGGCTTCATACTGTTGATTCTTGGTATTTTGATATGGTGGTTATCTAAATTTATAAAGAAAAGAAAAGAAATAAACCAGAAAAGAAAATTTTTCAAGCAAAATGGCGGTTTGCTGTTGCGCCACCAACAAACTGGCTCAAGTGTAGAGAAGATCAAAATATTCACATCTAGGGAGTTAGAAAAGGCAACGGATCATTTCAATGTGAATAGAATTCTCGGACAGGGTGGTCAAGGCACTGTCTATAAAGGAATGTTGGTCGATGGAAGAATTGTTGCAGTAAAAAAATCTGAGAAAGTAAGTGAAGCAAAAATTCAAGAATTTAGTAATGAAGTGTTCATTCTTTCACAGATTAACCATAGAAATGTCGTAAAGCTTCTCGGGTGTTGTTTGGAGACAGAGGTTCCTCTTCTTGTCTATGAATTCATTCCTAATGGAACTCTTTACCATTACCTTCATGAAAACAATGAAGAGTTTCAGTTATCGTGGAAGATGCGGTTCCAGATCGCAACGGAAGTTTCAGAAGTACTTTTCTACTTGCATTCTGCAGCATCTTTACCTATTTATCATCGCGATATTAAGTCGACAAATATACTTTTAGATGAGATGTACAGAGCAAAAGTATCTGATTTTGGAATTTCAAGATCTATCGAAGTTGATCAAACTCATTTGACTACTCATGTACTAGGCACTTTTGGATATGTAGATCCAGAGTACTTTCAATCAAGAAAGTTTACAGAAAAGAGTGATGTTTATAGCTTCGGGGTAGTGCTCGTCGAGCTCTTAACAGGAACAAAACCAGTTTCTTCAACAAGAGTGCAAGAAGGTGTTGGATTAGCTGCACATTTCATTCGATCAATGCAAGATGAAAAGCTCTTAGACGTAATTGATCCTCGTATTAAGGATCAATGTGATATGGAACAAGTTATGATAGTCGCTAACCTTGCGAGACAATGCTTGAACCCAAATGGCAAGCATCGACCCACAATGAAAGAACTGACAATACAGTTGGAAGGGATTAGAATGTCTCAAAAGGATTCGATTGTTCAAACAAACAATACTAGTGACATAGAATCTGAACCTTCAGAAGATTCCTACAGTTCAAGGATCTCAAGTTCTGCTAGCCCTCGAGCTCCAGATGTATAATCTAGCTGTCCTGAAACATTAAATGAATTGTACAAAGCATCTAACCACTAAGCTCTGACAGAGTGAAATTAGACTTGCCTGGAACCAAATGAAACTATGGAGTTGATTTCATTTGCAAATTAAATTTCATAGCAACCGGGACTGGATTCCCGTATCACTGTCAACTTCAAGACATGCCACCTAAACATCCACGAATTACTCTTAATTTTGAAGTACGGCTATGATGCTAAACAAATTAGACAACAAAAATCATTTATCCAAAATAAAAATAATGTAGTTGTATTCTAAGTTACTTGTTTGATGTAAATCCTACATGGCAAAAATATTCTACCAAAAGTAATGAAAATGTCGGAAGAAGTATTTTAACCATGAGGGGCAAAAATCCCCTATTACATAATCTTCACACTAAGAATGAAAGATTCAATGTGATTAAGCTTTTCCAAGACAGATTCAGTACACATCATGTATATAGTAACCAACAACAAACAAAAGCATCCCCTCAAATTGTGAAAGAATCAAGAGAGCACCACCAATCAAAGTGCAGTTTATGTGCTAGAGAAATTTCATTTTTCCCTTCACCGAAGACTTTGCCAGCTCTATGCGACACAATGCTTTCTCTTTTCCCATCAATCCAGAACATGATCCAGTGGCCCCTAAAGTAACAGCAAAATATAGGTATATGGTGCATAGGAAAGCCAAAAGAACCAAAGCTGTTAAGAGAAAACGGTGCCTTTGAATGAGTGTTGACAAACTACCCAACTCATCCCGTGGGAATTGTTTCCGGAACGACGGTGATCTACGATGAGGAGAAGATAAAATGTTGTCGAGTACCATAGCCTTTAAACTGAAACTTCTCACCGCACCTGACATGGCACACCAATTTGCGTTGATAAGAAGTGGAAAAAGCACAATTGAATCAAAATTTCACATAAAACAGTACACTAATCAAGGGAAATCACTATCAAGGTTATCGTTAGAATACAATTTGAGCAATGCAAGGTTTCAAATCATGAAAATAAATGCAACTTTATCTCGACATCTGAGACTGATTTTCAATTCTCAAGAACTACCAGATTAAGCACCTTGCTTTGTCTGCCAGGAGAACAAAGACAGAATGAAAGCATCATTCATATAACTTAAATGCACATGAAATTAAATCCTAGAAAACTTAGGCTACCATACTTCCAATGATTAACAGATTCCATCAAAGAAATGGAATGATCTATATATTAAGCAACAAAAAAGAGAGGGGGAACTATCTGATCTTTATAGTGATTAATTCAAATGATAGAGCAGAAAATAAGAATACAGGAAACGCTCATCCCTTGTCAAGCTATCCTTACTAAGTGCCTTCAACTGAAATAAAAGGCTTAAGTGGGGACAGGTGACACAATCTTCAGTAAGATAGATCTGAAGCCTTACTAACTTGCAAAGGCTTGTGGTAAAAGATAATAAAACAGAATTCAGAAATAGATATAATTCATAAAGAAACATTCATCTCTGACATTTTAGAATCAGTCCTACTCTTTAAGAAACTTCAACCTACATAAATCAAAGTTAATTAACAGAAAAAGAAGAGTTACCGCCACAGAGCTGATAAAAACCGAGTAATTTGAGACCCGAAAATCATAATTAAAAACCAAGAGACAAAATTTTGCAAAGCAAAAATATTGCTATACAACCGTTCAAGAATCAACCGCAATCACATAAAGTAACAAAAGTATTCTCTCATATACAAATGATCCAAAATTTTTAGTTTCACCTTTGAAGCATTCAACTAAAGCAGCTAGACAAAGGAAATAACATTATTTAGGACAATTTTACAATAAAAGAGCAAATAAAATTTGATAGATCAATTTCCAAACAAATAATTTCCCTTTTTTCCCCGTTATGGTACCTAATAATTCTGTAAATCTATGAAACGAAACCACACCTTCAATGGGCCGGAACCCATTGCCAGAAAACAATGTACCAACCAAACATAATATAAAAATTAAAGATTCGGCATTTTGGCTAGCTAAGTGTGCCTCATATCCTCGTTAAGCTAGCAAAGATTTTGACCTTTCAGCTACAACTTTAACCATTTCCTCAACTAGATCTCTCTCTATATCTATCTCTTTCTTCCAACTACAGACATTAATTGATTTCATCTTACTCAAACATCTAAGAGAAACACATTAAGCATTTTATAATCAAACCCATATTGTCAAACACCATAATCAACAAACAATTACTTAATAATAAGAAGAAAGATAATACGAGTGAATTTAATCAGATCTGAAGAAAGAGAATGAGAAACTTACGGTGAGAGGAAGATCAAGATTTATCCTTTCTCTTCCTTCGCTTTCTGTGAAATTTTCTCGAGAAAATATAAATGTTCTTCTTTTTCTAAATTATCGGGTTTTCTCCGCGTGTTTCGGCTTCTGATAGGAAAGAAATGGCGGGGCCAACCAAACAAACCATCCAGATTAGGCCAATGGACAGCGAGTTGAAAACGGAGATTAGATTGGAGAAACTAAATAAATTACTATTAGATGAAAAGGAATATATAAAAGAAATGGAAAGCTGGAAAAGATTGCGTGAGAGAGGCAGTTGGCTAATTGTACATGCGAGATTCCACTTTATAGAAGTTTTTTTGTTAACCCTTCGACGCGTCATAGGTCGTCAAATTCTCGGATATAAATTTCACTTAATTATTCTGAATATTATTCTCAAAAAATTATTCTGAATTTACATTTTAAATTGATTAATAATAAATTTATGTAAATTTAATTCTTTTGTTAGAATTAAAATATATTAATTATTTTACTAAGATTCATAAAGAAATCACTTCCTTTCTCCATAATTTTTGTCGTGTTTTAACTTACACACATAAGAAAAAAAATCTAGTTAATATAATTAAATTATATTACTATCTTGTTCTATAATACGAGAAAATAGTTTGTTCCAAAATATTTGTCACAATTATGGTTTCAAGGAGTAATAAATATTTTTTTTCATATTTACCATTTGTATTTGCCAAATAGTTATTACTTCAATTTAATAGTTTTCTTAGAGAATTAGTATTAAATTAAGGATAATGTAGTCACTTTTACTTAATAATTTATTGTAATTTAAATAAATTTAATAATTTTTAAGGGACATGAAATTTCAGATGTGATAATTATTATGAAACAAATATATTAATTTTTACTTTTTTTTCCTAATATACCCTTAAGTCAGTATTCCATTAAGATTAAGTGATCCATAGTCCATGATAAATTATTATTGAAATTAATTATACTCAAACAATTAATTAAATAGAGTTTTTTTTTCTTCGAAAGATTGAATGTTGATATTTTAGTTTTATTATATCAAGATTTAATAATAATTTAGTACTTTGATTATTATATTTATTAATAAATAAGCATGTTAAATAAGGATAAAATAAATCTAACTGCACTCTCTTTCTCTCCTAAATCTAAAAGCTTTTTTTTCTTCTTCAACAGGCAGCCACCGGTGAGCTCTCACCGGTGATCACCCCCTTTTTCTTTTTTATTTTTTATTTACAAATAATCCTTAAATATGTGTACGGATTTGAATTATTGTCTCTCAATTATTGGGATTTGTTGTCACCCATATATTGAAATTTTGTTCTCAGATCCAATTATGAATTATTGTTGTCACAATTATAGTGATTTTGTCTAACGTCTTTTGTTATTTGAATAGTTATGTAGAAATAAATGCAGATTCTTGGAAGAAATTTGAAGGTACTCGGATCAGACTTGCAAAAAGATTATGGAGTCAAACAGTAGCCATGAATAGCCACCAAGTGAAGCAAGCGATTACTGACGGCACAAATATTATGCTCTCAACTCGATCAGATATTTCAAATCAAGATTGTATTTTTTTATTCTTTGTATAAGTGGTTTATTATTATTATACTTCCTATACAAAAATATAGAAACATGTTGATTTGTATCTCATATATCTATATATATATATATAAATAATTTCCTCTTAATAAAATTGAAATACCTCGAATTTTTATTTTCAAAACTTTGGAATTTTCATTAAATCAAAAATCCAGATTTATGATAGTATGGGCTGTTAAGACCGAGTAATTTTGTATCTCATATATCTATATATAATATAAAATAATTCCCTGCTCTTAATAAAAATTGAAAATACCCCCTCGAATTTTTATTTTCCAAAAAACTTTGGACATTTTCATTAATGCAAAATCAGATTTATGATAGTCATTAAATCAAAAATCCAGATTTATGATAGTATGGGCTGTTAAGACCGAGTAATTCTAATTGAGCCCAAAGTTTTACGAATTGGGCCCAAGCCCAAAAATATATTATTCGAAATTTTCGTTCGGGTAATACTTAAAATTTCGATGAAAATAAAATAAAACACTAATTGTTAATCGATTATAAATTTGTTTATATATATGTAACTACTATATAAATTAATCAGTCTAAAATTAAATATATTTGCTATTAATATTTTATGATTATTGAATAAATGGAGAAAATATTATGGAACTGAACTAAATAATTAAAATAAATCGAACCGGGCCTGAAAATTAATTTAACCGCACGAAATATTCTGAAAACCGAATGAAAAACTCGAAAATCGAATAAAATGAGACAAAATCGCTAAATCGGACCAAATCGATTCGAATCGAACCGGAATGGCCCAGCCCACTTTCCTTCCTTCCTTTTCTTTTTCTTTCCTTTCTCTCCTTCCTTTCTCTTCTCTCCTTCCTTTCTCTCCTTCTTCTTCGCGTGACAACCTCTCCTCTCTTGCTCACTACGATCTCCGTCCACCGGCCATGGAAGTCGACATCCAAGCATTCCATCTTGCTCCTCTCGTCGAGATGAACTCTTCTATGGTCTTAGTTTGTGATGTTGCTTGAGTTTTGATAAACCACCATGGACGGCGGTTTGAAGGTGGCTGTGGAGCTAGATCCGGCCAAACGAGGCACTGGCTCAACAAAGTGATAGTAGATTTGGACTCCCCACGAAAATTGGAGTCGGATGGTGGTGACCTTGCAATTTTCTGGGCGGTTTACGTTTTCTGGCCACCGTACACGGCGGCGACGGCGGCGGTCCGGTGACCGGCCGGCGAGAATGATCTCCTCTGCGCGCGGGTCACGGAAATCAAATCCAATTTTCCATCGGTACATTGTAAGGCTTAGTTGTCCATTTTTCGATATAAAATTTATAACTTGAATTAATTAATTAATTGGATAATTTATGAAATTAAATTACAATTTTTGAATAAATCTCAAATTAATTAATTAACGAATTGATCGAGGAATTAAGTGAATTAAATTGAATATTATTAAATGTAACCATAGTATTGATATTGAAATATGAATGTTAGGTAATAATTATATAAGTTAATTTCCAGGATTTTAAGAAGTATAAATAAGAGAGATTACAATATATGTTATATCTAAATAATTAACGATATTATGAAAATTCAAAAAAAAAATCAATTGGCGATAGGATTATCAATTGCCTATGTATGATGGATGACTAATATGTGATGGTTATGGTGGACGGGATCGATTAATGTGAATTGCCCGACGGATGAGCTGTGTGTGGATTTGTGAGAATTTTGATTAATTGGGTAGTACAGTTATAAGGGAAATGCCGTTGAAAATTCGATAAAACATTTAACTCTTAAAAGATAGTGCGAGTAAAATTATTATTGGTATTAAAATTATATTGTCACATGTATTATTCTTCATTGTATAAGAACATTACTTGACGAATAACTAAACGCTCTATATATAAATAATAAATTTGAAATAAATATATAAATGAGAAAAACCCAATATATATATATGCATGTATAATAAGTGAATTAAATGGCTGATAACCAAAATTAATAAAAGAATGTGAAATATAAGTTTTTGAATTAAAATGCTTATTTAGAATTTTCTTGTTTATTTTAAAGGTTTATAAAATACAAAATGCAAGGACAAAAGCTGGAAGCATTCGGCTAAAAAGACAGTCCTTCTAAAGGACAATAAAGAACTGTGAGTAGTTGTTAGATAACTAGTATCATCCGCCTGCATTCATGCATTCACGGCTAAATGTTATCATGCATTATGGCCATATTGTGCTGCATTATTTGTTGATATTAAATGGCTGCATCTAAATTTGTTGATATTAAATATTAAACGTGATTATTTTGTGATGTGATAATTGCTGTGCCGCTGTTTGTGTGGAATTTGGGATGAAGTGGGTCACAATTGGGTTTTGGTGAGACCGTGGTCGTTATATGGATCCTGATTCTGCTTTTCTGATATGTTGATTCTGATTCTGATTCTGGTTATATTGGATCCTGATTTCCTGATTTTCTGTTAGCCGGGTAAATGGGAGATCGGCGCCCATGTGCCACGCTATTGTTCTGATCTGTATATATATGGAAAACCAGCACAGTTGGCTTCTTTTTATTTGGGGCAGCACCCTATAATTAGATTTCTGATCGCAGCTCGCAGGGTAGGCCCTCCTGCTTGAGCCACGATGATCTCTATTTGATGGAGACCGACGCGGGATTTGCCTCCTGTCGTATTTCTTGTCTTTTTTTTTTAAAAAATAATAATAATATAAGAAAAGAGCAGAGATGGAAAATAATCAGAAAGGACCAGCAGTGGTGAGGATTATACAAGCCAAGCGCCAGAATAGGGGATTGGCTCCCTGGTGCACATGTGAGTGGATGGGCCATGTGGGAGGACGGCTCATCGGGTTTAGGTGACTCCACTGACCAATCTCCACGTGATATGATTATATGAAGATGATGATATTTGTGATTGCTGATATATTGCCATTTGTGTGACACTGCATAATCATAAAATTAATCGGGGACCAAATAAAATATTTTAGCATCTGTGTGATCATAAAGTTAATCGGTGAGCAAAAAAAAAATATTTTAGCATTTGTATGATTGTGTGGGGTGAGAAGGTTATCTAACCCTACTCATTGAGTTTGGCGCTCACCCCTGCCTACCTATTTTTTTCAGCCTATTTTTTTTTCAAGTTATTAGAAGAAAAAGAAAAATCCTATGGAGTTTGAATTTATAGAAGATTGTTAATGATAAACGAATAATGATGTAAATGTAACAGGTAGAGTTCCGCAAATTGTATGCTAGTTTTGGGTTGTAAAATGAGACCCTGTATTAGTGATACATAATTTAAATAAATTTGTTGGTCCTGTATCCACAGTCTAATGAATAGGCAATATGCAGGTTTGCATAATATATGGCTTACTACGGGCTTCGGTGGGCCTTAAGCCCACCCAGGTCTAGTGCCCGGTCTGGTCTGAACTGAGAAAATGGGTCGTGACCAAAAAAATTTATAATTTGATTTCCGTTAAAAAAAAAAAAGTGATAAAAGTAATGATTTCAAATTTTTATTCACTTTAAGTTGGGGACACAAAAGCCAGTACAAAATTATGAGGATAAAGACCTTAATTTTATACTATGTTATTAAGCTATTTTGTATCCCATTATATAAAAAACTAAATTCTGGTCTATGGAAATGGGTCGTGACAAAAATTTATAATTTGATTTCGTTAAAAAAAAAAAAGGATAAAATAATGAATTTCAAATTTTATTCACTTTTAAGTTGGGACAAAAAAAGCAGTACAAAAATTATGAGATAGATTAATTTACTAGTTTAACTATTTTGTTCCATTAAAAAAAAAAAACTATTGTCTTTTTTTTTTTTTCTAATGAGTCTTTATATTAAAATTAAATTATATATATTAAATCATTATTGAAATTATAATTATTTATCCAATAATAGAGGTAATTGGCTAATGAACAGTGGAAGATAGGCTGATATTTTATTTTTGTTTGTATCAAGATTTAATTAAAGATAATATAATTATTTGACTAATTTGTTCATTGAGAAAGAGCGATATTAAATGAAACGGGATAATATTTTGGGACAAATAAAAATTAAAAGTAGGACGAGAATTGTGGGATGGAGGGAGGGTGTCCTTTATTTTGGTATATGAATGCTTAAGGAAAAGAAAATTTAAAATTTTCATCTCTCTTAATATATTCATATTTTCAAAAATGAATAAAGAGTATTAAAAATGGTGTTTGGTTTGGCTTATTCATGCAGTTGATTTGTATCTAATAGTTAAATTGTAGACATTTGGTAAGCTTTTTCAATAATAAAAGTTTCAATCGTCTGTTAATTAGTTATGTTTTACGAACTTTTTTCATATTAGCATTTGTGTTCATATTATATATATTTTTTTGAAAATATATTTATATTTTATCTGAATTTTATTAACCTTGTAAAAATAACTACTAATAATTTTTTTAAACTAATATTTTTATCGTCATTTTATTTGCAATTATTTAAGCATAATAATTTATATTAAATATAAATGAGTTGTTTTGTTCAGCTTTTTTTATGCAATGGATAGTTGATTAGGGCCCAACAATTATATTAAAAGTGTTTGGTAAGCTCTTTAAAAAAGAAAAAAAAAAGTGTTTGGCAAGAATCCATTGTTGATTCCATCAGCTAGACGTATGAGTTTTTTATAAAATTACTATTAATATTTTATATAAATTGACTAAAATATCTTATCATTAATAACGTACTCAAACCTTTTTTTCTTCTAACGATTAATATATTTTCTTTGTCCATATAAAATAAAAGAAGATTAAAAGAACATCTTTCTTTGTCCATTGAGAATAAGAGAAGATCATAGCATAATCTATCCGTAGGTAATTTTTTCTACTCTTTTTATTATTTTATTAATTGACATATATTAACTGTGTGTATGTTTATAGATAATTAGATAGATCTTATTAATATGTTTATTAATATTAAGATATATGGTTTTATCCATATGCTCATAGATTTTATTAATTAAGATAGGTAGTTTAATTAATTTTTTATTTTCTGTTTCTTACTTTTTTACTTCATTAGAAATAGATTAAAAATATTTTATATGTAAATTTAATTTATTTAAGATATACTCTTATTAGTCATTTTCTTATTAACAGCAACGATTGATTATAACTTTATCAAACACTTATTACAACTTTACTTTAATATTCATTATTCATCGGCTATCAGCTGAAACTATTGAACCAAATAGATCCTTTTGGCCCAAATTACCTGTCTGAAATTGCTGAACCAAACAGACATTTTTATCTCGTTTGATTCAACTGATTAATTAGTTGATATTTGGTAAACTGTCAATCAGTGGCTAATATCTCATAAAAATCCCTATCAAGTGTGATGACTTACTGATTCTTCTTAACTACTAGTTAATTCATATTTATATTATATTTAAATTTCATTAACCTCAAAAACATAAGTATTAATAAAATTATTTTTTAAAAATTATCAAATACCAATATTCATTAATTAAATGGACCAACAACTATCATAGACTAAGCCAGGCCAGTTATTGCCACGAGTAAAACCTATATTTACACTATCGTTGTATTTGTGGAAAATATGAGAAGAAAATTGAGAAGGAACCATCACTTATTTGGGAATGACGAAAATATGGGAGGAAGGAAAGTATAGAAGAAAAATAAATTATAAGACCAACATTTCATTTTTCTCTCCATTTTGAGAAGAAAGTTAGAGAAAAATTATTAAAATTACAATTTTACTCCTATTTATTATACTTTATTGAAAATAATTAAAGGCTAAACTCATAATTTTACTATTCATAAATCACATTTTCTCTTTTTATTTTTCTCTCAAATACTCGGATATCAAGAGAAAAGATTCTTTTATATCTTCTCTAAATTGTTATCCAAACGCACTATTATTTCAAAAACGATAGTAATTGAAAATAAATAAATAAATTGGCAAATTCTGATCGCACGTCAAACAAGGTCCGTAAAGAAATCAACGGCAGGAAAAGGGTAATACACAAGGGAAAACATTAAACTCAATCACAGAGGACAAAAGCGGGTGTCTTTCTTGACTCAGACTGCAAATTCCTCTTCTCGAATTCGTTTCCTCGCTTTTTGATCAAACGCTGATTCTTTTCACCTCTCTCCAATTCTTACAGGTACGAGCAATCTAATTTCTCCTTTTCTGTATACAATTCTTTCGATCTTCAAGGATTCGAAAAATCATCTTGATAAGGTTTCCCATTATCATTTTTTTTTGATAAGTCAAATTCATAAATTCTCTTAGGGTTTGATCGATTGGTTGATTGTCTAAGAAGAAGATGTGGGCGGCTACTTGCCTTGCGTCTTGCTGCGCTACTTGCGCCTGTGATGCCTGCCGCACGGTGGTCTCGGGGATTAGCAGGCGGTCGGCCAGGATTGCATACTGTGGTCTCTTTGCTCTGTCTTTGATTGTTTCGTGGATTCTCCGGGAGGTCGCTGCTCCTCTAATGGAGAAGCTCCCTTGTAAGCCTTTTACTTGTGGATTATTGATAATTGTTTGTTATGACTACTTGATTTTATTGTTAGCATGAGATGCTGATGGTTGTTTAAAAAATAATTGATTAATCATAAAAGTATTGGCTTTTGTGTATGCATAGTTAGATACTTTTAAGGGATGGTTCTAAATTAATACTGAATGTTAATGCAGGGATCAACCATTTTCATAAGACACCTGATAGGGAGTGGTTTGAAACTGATGCGGTGCTGCGTGTTAGCTTGGGAAACTTTCTATTTTTTACTGTTCTTGCTATTTTAATGGTCGGTGTAAAGAATCAGAAGGATCCTCGTGACAGTTTGCATCATGGTGGATGGATGATGAAAGTTATTTGTTGGTGCATTTTGGTGATTTTTATGTTTTTCCTTCCAAATGAAATTGTCAGCTTCTATGGTAATCAGTTTTGTCAATCTCGATGCTATTAGCATTCAGAATTTGATTTTGATTTTCTGCTTTTGATTGTCCTATCTGTTTCTCCTTTGAATTCTGTTTCAAATCGTTTGACTGGGGTAACTGTTAAATTTTGTATGGGCAGAGTCAATATCGAAATTTGGCTCAGGATTGTTTCTTCTTGTTCAAGTTGTGCTTTTGCTGGATTTTGTTCATGGATGGAATGACAAGTGGGTTGGATATGATGAACAGTTCTGGTTAGTTTGCTGTTGACTTGCTTTGATAACCTGAATATTACTAATGCATTTTCTTATTCTTCAATGTGATTTAACCCTCATATATTTTGCATTTTGATTTATACAGGTATGTTGCTCTTCTTGTGGTCTCACTTGTTTGTTATGTGGCAACATTTGTCTTCTCGGGATTTCTTTTCCATTGGTTCACACCATCTGGACAGGATTGTGGATTAAACACCTTCTTTATCATTATGACCTTGATTTCCGTGTTTGTTTTTGCTATTGTTGCACTGCACCCTGCTGTAAGTTTATACTTTCCCCAGTATCTCTAATAATTATGGATATCTATCATTTTGCATGTTTCCCATGTGCATGAAACAAAGAGCTGTATGTAAGATGGTCTAATTTTCCTTCACCAATAGTACCATAAATTTCTTGGAATTTGATACACTACATGTCGAATGGCATTATACGAAAGTTTGTTTTTTGCTTTGCTTTGGTTATTTTAAGGCAAGTGTCAGTGAGGTTGTTCCACATGAGAGCTTTTTTTGTTGGAAATAGGAAAAGTTCAAAAATAGGGAAGTATCCAGCTTTCATTTAAACAGAATATTATGCCTAAACACTTCAATTTGACCTATAATTCTTTCAAATTTAAAAAGAATGTAATTGGTTGAGAAAGGCTGACTAAACTGTAGTCAAAATAATTATACCCAGAAGGCATGGATAGATCCATTGGATTAGTGGTCCTAATACTGGTTCTCCATTAAGCTTCGTGCTTTTATCACTTCTAAATAGATGGCATCTATTTATGGGAATGTTCATGACTGAACCATTCATTTCATGCACAGTCACCCATCAAATGCTCTGTAGAAGGTGCTGAAAGAATCATTTATCAATGAACTATTTTCGAACAAAAGATATCTTAAAGAACAATTATTTTAGGGTTTGATGTTTGCACATATAGTAATGTAGTTTAATAGCGTCCTTAAATAACAGTATGATGATATTAAGGAATGCAACTTTTGTTGATCATGGCCCTCAGGAATAGGCAACCTGGATTGTAGAACTAACATAATTATTGGTTCTTCTCACAGGATTTGTGTTCTGAGTGAGTAGTTCCATTCTAAATTTGCTAATAACGAAGTTATTGTGATTAACAGCATTATTTTTTACTGTGATGTAAACATGGAGAATATAAGGTGCAAGATTGTACCTTTGTTCACTTTTGGCATGAAGAATCATGTAATCTCTAAGTTTCAGCCATAGCGCTTCTCCTTTGTTCCCAAAAAAAGGCGCCTAGCTATATTTTATTTCATTCTTTGCATGAGAAAATTTTGAAGATCTGTTGTCAAATGAGCGAACTTTTTGGTGGAAAACAGGTAAATGGTAGCATTTTGCCAGCATCAGTCATATCCGTTTACTGCATGTACCTATGCTACAGTGGACTTGCTAGTGAACCAAGGGATTATGAGTGCAATGGTCTGCACAAACATTCAAAAGCTGTTTCCACTGGCACCCTCACCGTTGGCCTGTTTACAACTGTTCTATCAGTTGTCTATTCTGCTGTTCGTGCTGGGTCCTCTACAACTCTTCTCTCCCCACCAAGCTCACCCCGTGCAGGTAACATTTTGTGAAAAGGCATCTAAATTTTTATCAAGTTTTGGGAATATACATTTTATTTGGAAGATACACTGAAGGAATTTGTTTGGAGAAAGTTTCTCCTGCCTGAAATTTTCTAAATTCCTTTGCCGTAAACACCCCCACCCCCCCCCCCCCCCCCCCCCCCCCCCTCCCCCCGTGCGGGGGCCGAGTTTAATTAGGATTCGCCATCTTTGTGCCCTAAGAATGCTGTTCTGATTGCTCTATTTTCCTGGGTGTTGCAGGCACCCCCCCCCCCCCCCGTGGGGGCGCGAGTTAATTAGATTCGCCATCTTGTGCCCTAAGAATGTGTCTGATGCTCTATTTTCCTGGTGTTGCAGGCAAACCTTTGCTGCCACTGGAAAACAGTACCGGAGAGCATCATGAAGAGAAAGACAAAGTGAAGCCAGTCACATATTCTTATGCCTTCTTCCACATCATCTTCTCTCTGGCTAGTATGTATTCAGCGATGCTTTTGACCGGGTGGTCAACCTCAGTTGGGGAGAGTGGAAAGTTAGTAGACGTGGGGTGGCCCTCTGTGTGGGTTCGCGTCATTACTGGCTGGGCAACTGCGGGTCTATACCTATGGTCTCTTGTTGCTCCTATTATGTTCCCAGATAGGGAGTTCTAAGTCTCCTCCGGCAGGAATATAGATATCTCTGGATGTTCAATTTACTGTGTATATGTTATGTAAGGTCGACTTCCTGACTTGCTTGTCGAGTGGAGTCTCTATGGAAACTGTCTGCAACAATGTCAAACATGCTTTGTTGCATTTATGAATTGGAGTGGTGAAAATTTGTGCTCTCTCTGTGCACACTTGTAGACATAGATAGGCACTCACGCTATTACTGTTAACTTTGTCATCTTGTTTGTCCATTTGAATAGGAAACAAGCTTAAAATAAAGAAATTGCCAAAATCCTGGTGCATGCTCTCTCTGTATTAAAATGATAATTCAAATTATTAATTTAATACATTTCAAATTAATTTTCTAGTTTCTTGTATAATCAATAATGCCTTTCAAATAACTTAAATAAAATAACAAACTGGACTAGTATGGACACAGTAGGATTCACCTTAAGCAATATTGTTGCCGAAGCAAGATCTATATCAAAGTCAAGATCCTCAAACATGGTTTGATGATAATGATGCAGTAAATAATTGGCTCTAGGCCTCTGTATCTCTGCCTTTCGTAAATCATATACGATGAATCTTCTCATTTAAATCCACCCAAGTCTTGAACTAAATCTTATCTATTTTTGGATCAGCTCCTAGCATCAGAAAGTGAAAATCACCAAAAATCGCAACAAGAACAATATCCATCCTTGAAATGGTGAAACCTCAAGGAATCTCTGACAATGATTTGCATGTCAACAATTTTAGCTATTAACTTGATAGCATTATGGCAATCCACACATATTCTCAAATTCTTAAAAACCCTAATTGTTGATTTCCCACTTGAATTCAGTATTCCAAAAGCAACTGCCAGTCTTTCACTATGGCTGCAAAGAGTTTCTTCTCTTTCTTCTTGGTCTACATTCTGCAGAACAAAATCAGTGTTAGGCTGATATCCAGCCAATTTCATCTTCTCACTTACAGCATCCAAAAATCTATAGATCTCATCGTTCTGTTTATTATTTTTATCTCCAACAACAAAAGTATATACTCTGTTTTTCACCTGAACCCAACTACGACCTGGTGTCTTCGCGATTCCTTTGTCTCTCATCATTTTTCTAATTTCAGAAGCTTCAGCCCACATTTTGGCAGTAACTAAAATGTTAGATAATAACACATAATTTCCAGAGTTTTCGGGCTCGATCTCAAACAGTCGAGTTGCTGCTATCATTCCTAACTCAGCATTCTTATATACTCTACAAGCACCAAGCAACGCTCCCCAGGCACCGGCAGTAGGTTCTATAGGTATTTTTTGAATGAATTCATATGCCTGTTGTAGTCGCCCTGCACGGCTTAGTATATCGACCATGCATGAGTAATGATCGCCATCAGGTTCAATTGAATACTCAGAACTCATTGAATTAAAAATCGAAAAGCCTTCATCAACTAGCTGGGAATGGCTGCAGCCAGACAAGACTCCTATAAACGTAACAGAATTGGGTTTAATCCCCACGCTTAACATTTTACGGAAAAACATCAATGATTCTTCTCCATTTCCATGCATAGAGTTTGCAATGATCACTGTATTCCAAGCAAAAATGTCTTTTTGTGGCATCATATCAAAGACTTCCTTCGAATGTAGCAAATCACCACTCTTCGCATACAACAAAACTAGAGCTGTTGCAATTGTTTTATCCTCAATAAGCCAATGCCTAAATACATAGCCATGAATCTCTTTCCCAGCCCTTAAGCTTTCCAAACTTGTACAAGCAGGTAAGATACTAACAACTGTGATTTGATTTGGTTTAAACCCAGAATCTTGCATTTTAGCAAATATGTCCAGCGCTTGTTTATTTTGGCCATTCTGTGTGCAACCACAGATTACAGCATTCCAGGAAGCATGGTTTAGCTTGATACCTTCCTTTCTCATTTGATAAAACAAAGCAAGACCCTCCTCACATTCTTTGTTCAAAAAATATGCAGTTAACATTACATTCCATGACACAACATCTCGCTGAGGCATTTTACCAAATACTATCCTAGCTTGTTTAAGGCTTAAGCAACTCGCATACATTTTAACAAGTGCACTACTAACAAAAACATTCCCTTCCATTGCATTCCTCAAAACAAACCCATGAACCTCTCTTCCTAACTTCAACTCCTGCATATCTGCACAAGCAGGTAAGATTGATGACACTGTCAATGAATTAGGTCTAATCCCATTCAATCCCATATCCCTAAAAGCAAATATACCTTGTCTAGGCATACCACAATTGACATAACAAGAAGCCATTGAAGTCCAAGAAATCACATCTTTAACAACTAAACCATCAAACACCCATCTTGCTCCATCAACGCAGTTACATTTCCCATACATATCAATCATTGCGTTACCCAACAAAAGATCTTTATTAAAACCAAACCGAATTGCGTCTTCATGTATTTCCTTGGCCTTGATAAGATCACCAGAAGCAGCACATGCCTTGGCCACTGATAGTAATACTAACTTATCAGGCTTTATATTGCGTTCAATCAACGTAGTGTAAATTTCTATGGCTTCCTTAACGAACCCACGTTGAGAGTGAGCCGAAATTAAAATGGTCCAGGTCCGAAGGTCTGGTTCAGGAATTTTATCGAACAAATAGCGTGCGCGTTGTAAGTCGCCGGAATTCAAGAAATTCCTTATCAGTTTGAAGCTCCGGTGAGGTGGAAGATTTGTGGGTAGCTTTGAAATCATGTAATTTTCAAGTAATACGATATTTCTTCTTAAAAAAAGTTAAGAGCTTATCATAAACTTTGATGGCAGACCTCTATGCAACACAGTCCCTTTTATCCTTCGTCTTCCGAGTTTCCACCACTCGGTTGTTAGCTGGTTAAGACAATTATGCACGCCAAAATTCGAAGAAACAATCAAAAAAATTTATGTTTATGACATTCATATGTAATTTTCAATTGAAAAGGAAGAGAAAGAGAATGATGTTCACTTCCCCACAATTTCAAGAATGTAGAATCAAATGCTGTGACTACCATTAGGCATTAGCTACTGAAAAATCATATATGGACTGTTACAGGAATTTTGATCAACAAGAAGCCTAGGCCTATCATGCAAAGAAAAAGCATAGCTAGGCGTAGCATGGAAGAGGAACAGAGGGAAGTCAGAAACTCAAAGGAATCGAACTAAGCACGGGATGCAAGCTCTTCAATGGTCTAAAATCTTCTTAAATTTGTCAAAATTTTACATCGATAATTCACGAGTATAACATTAAAATTTAAGTTTTGATTTTTATTATTTCCTAACTTGTCACAAACCGCATTTTAAATTCTTGAATTTATTAAGTTTGGCTCATTTTTAACACTGAACACTTGCCGAAGACAGATGCCTTTTTTTTTCTCCAAATTCTGATTTCATGTTCAAGCATTCGATTGCAGATAATTACAATGAGATAAATCATGAAACTACTTCAAACTACAATAATATGTCAGGACACTTATGAATGCGTACAGGTGTAATCTAGAGACCAAGATAATCTTTGACGCCGATATCAAACAGCATGCCATAACACATTCTCAAAATTACTTTTAGGAATCGTGGTCACTGGTCAGGGTTAGCAATGCAATAACCAAACACTAATAAAAAAGCTCAAAAGGACACTGAACCATCTATAAGAAAAATAAATCAAAAAAACTATGAACCCGACTGGGTAAAGTTCTCATGTCAATCCTCAAAATCTCCAGCATTTTCCAACAGGTAATTAGCTGCCAATTCCTCATTGCGATCGCATGCCAAAAATGCCTCAATGACTAGGGCTCTATCAAATCCCATTGCCTCAAGCTATAAATGGGGAGAATATATCCAGTTAGTAAATTCAGATAAAGAGGGAAGCAATATCATTAGGAATATCTTGTACAGCATATGCCCACAGATAAAACACAAAGACAAAAGCCAATAACAATGAACACATACCCGTTCAATAGCCTCCTGTTCAGCTGGGGTGACATTGATAGCATGAGGCATATCTTGGTCAACCTGATCAAATATATCCCTGAAAGATGAAAAGTTTAGGTCCCTTTGGAAATGCCCTGGTTGAAATTTTGTATGCAAGATTATCTATTCAGGGTCTGAAAGTTATATATTTTAGAATATAAAATTACACCCTTCTACAATCTAGATTTAGATGGTAGTTGCAACACAGATTCCTTTACATTCTCAACAATTGAAGAAAACTGTTGAACAATATTTTTTTGTATAGTTCAACTACTGTGGGGGGGTATATTACTCACCCTTCAGAACCTTCAAGAGGTTCATTTATTAACTGAAGAAATTCTGCATTATGCTCTTGAATCATTCTTAACAGTTGTGGGTTTTGCTTTCCAAGCTCCTGAAGCATAGGCTGTAATGGAAGTGGTAGATTGAACTGAGACTGTATTTTTTTTCTTGTAAGAATTAAAATAAAATAAAATACAAGCAGAAAAATTGAACACGGACCTGTAAAATTTGAGGATTTGCTTGAACCATTGAACGCAATGCTTGAAACTAAAACCAAAAAAAAAAGATTCAACATCATATAAATCCAATTTGTTAGGTATATAAATCAAAGTAGCATCATTGGACATCTAGCAATTGGCATTAAATGAAATCTAGCAAGAGACTCGAAAACTTCCGTACGCATATCCAGCAGAATATTTATCTAAGCAACATGGTCCAGTTATTCACTCGTACACCCAGTCTCCCTAGCTCTGCTCATGTGAATCTATAATATTCACCATCCCTTTATTTTTAGGCATTGCCTTTGTATCATCTTGACAGACGTGGCATTGTTAAAACTAACATAGTCAATGCACATAACAATTCGGCAAATGTTGATGTGAAACAAAATGCAAGAAGTTTTAGGCATGTTCAGTTTTTAAATGCATTAAAACAGCAACAATAATAAGAACCAAACCTGTTGATTGTTTCTAAGGAAATCAAGGGATCCAAGTCCGCCGGTGCCGCCGCTGCCACCTCCGGCAGAAAGTGTCTCCTGGGGAAGTTTCACATAATTGAAACAAGAAACAAATATGCACAATACATGATGGAAGTCCTCCAAAATCTACGGTTATACCTGAGGAAACATGTTCAAGGGAGATGTGTTAGGTGCTCCAGATGCAGGTGCAGTAGGAGATGCACCAGTGTCAGTTGCCTGACCTGCAGCAAAACGAGGGACAGCAACTTCCGCAGTCTCTGGGATTCCCTGAAGATCAAACAAACATAAGTAAATAAAGTAAATAAACAAACATAAGTAAATAAACATTGCAGCAGAATCTATATTGAGTTTGGACATACAGAATACAAGTAATCCACTGCTCGTTCTGGATTGTTATAGGCAGCTCGAAGAGCACGTGTAACTGTTTCTTTGTCCCAATTGCCACCGCCTATATCCATTATTTGTTGAATAGTTTGCTCAAGATTACTGCCAGCAACTAAATTTGAAGCAGCTTGACCATAGGTATCAGTTTGTGCACTAAAACAAATGTATGGAACTTGTATCAGCCCTTACATCATTCATAATTTATTTATTTTCCAAGTAAAAAGGCATAAAAGAACAAGATATATAAGATCACAATCAGTACATTTTCACACTTCTGACCCACTAAATCCACAAAACGCAAACAAAAAAACACAACCCTTATAGAACGTGCAATCCGATGTAGCAAAGTGCACAGATTTTGGGAACCAAAAATAAAGAAGGTAAATCCTTTCGGGATTTGATAATTTCTACATTAAGAGAACAACTGTTCAATTTTCATTGCAGGGTTGGGGCTCGGGAGGAAGTCGTCAAACACAGAGTTAGCAATTCGAGCGTTAAATTTTGCCCAGCATGAAGGAAATCACATAAATCACAAGATCTAATCTGGTATTTGACATGCATGGGCATAGAACTTGGTACTATATCTAATAACCTTCAGGGTTGATTCATATTAATGCGAAATCATACACAAAGATTAGATCATTGATAATTCTAGAACGTGTGTAACATGTCATCCATTAAAGATAACCGATATCAACAACAAAATCAATAAAAATGACTACGTACTGCAGTGGAATTCCAAAAGAAAGGAATCCTTTCCCACTACCATTTTTAGAGGTCAAACAATTAGTTAACTTGAAGCAAATAATGCACAATTAGATAATAATCCATATCAAGTACTTGCAGCCAATATTACAAAAGTTGACAAATAACTACAATCTTGTATGAAAATAATATTCACAAGGCTAGAATATAATACCAGAACCAGCATTCCTCCTAGAGATCCCAACCTAATTTACCAACTTTTACAAGATTTTGATCCACCTAATTAGGAACAAACTTGTGATCGATTGCAACTAAGTTTCGTTAGAATAATCCAAGACAATTGATTTTTACTCAAAATTATAAATTTGAAATATAATTTGAAGTCAATCCTGTCGTCTATAATAAATCAAAAGTAAATTTAATTTCATAGGCATCTCTTTTTATAAAAAGATAAGGTCCTTTAAAGGAAGATTCTTGTTTTTTCACACTTGATATCATCAATTCTATAAAAATAAATCAAATTCTCTCAAAGTCCAACGTTTTCTGGTAACTGGTAAAATAGCAATTCTACCAAAAGCATCAATTTTTTTCTTTTTGAAAAAAAAAATAATAATGTTTTACTAGTTAAATGATTTCAACCTTGAGAATTGTTTCGAACAAAATAAAAATTAATTGAAGTCCACATTTTCAGACAAAGATGATTATCCTGTAAAAGACATCCCTAGTATAAAAGCGAAGATCAAGGAGAATTATCTATCATGTACAACTGCAACCCAGCTCTTCGGCAAAGAGTGTGTTCCCAAGAATCAAAACACATAATCTTTCAATCAAAAAGGATCAAAGAAGAGACCTCACTATTGCAATAAGGTTCACCCTCATATTTGATTATCATGTAATTCACCATCATCAAGTTTCTAACGTAGACTTTAACTTCAATCCTCAGATGGAACAAAAAGTACTGCTATTCTGAATAACCAGCCTAGGGTATTCCTCTATGAAAAATGTAATTACAAATGTGTTAAGCTGAATAGAATAAGATTGTTCTTAAAATATTAAAAAAAAAAAAAAAAAAAAAAAAAAAAAAGATGTTCTTAAATATTAAAAAAAAAAAAATAAAAAAAAACCCACCTAATAGCAACAAGGAACTCTCATATGAAAAGTGGTGAACTTGGGACTTTGTTTACGGCCAATCTTCCAGTAATACGGGTTGCCCCACAATAGAGCATAACAGAACCAAGATTCCCAGTATCAGGGACTAAGTTTCAATAATTAATCACGATTGAAAAAAAAAAAAAAAAAAAAAAAAAAAACCCAACCTATAGCAACAAGGAACTTCATATTGAAAGTGTGAACTTGGGACTTTGTTTTAGCCATCTTCCAGTAATACGGTTGCCCCACAAAGCAAACAGACCAAGATTCCCAGTATCAGGGACTAGGTTTTCAATACTTAATCACGATTACTTGTTTGCCTATGATGTTCGGTAATATTATCTCATAGAATTAAAAAAAAAAACAAACATAATGCCAGAGATAGGGCTCTTACGTAGCTGTTGCTGTTTCAGAAGCTGATGTTGTGCTCTTTGAGATCCTGCAATAATAGATTGAACATATATGAGGCAAATCTAGCTGATGCAGAAATATTTAATAAAAACAGTTGTCATATAAACTTACGGTGCTTGAACTTCAGCTGCAGGAGTTAAATTAGGAGTTGCTGCAGTTGTAGGTGGAGTTACAGCAGCAGGCTGTCATAGACAAATGGGAAACAGCTTATTCAGAGAGAGAGAGAGAGAGAGAGAGAGACAGACAGACAGACACTGTCCAACAACAAATGAAACAGAAGACTACCTGGGCAGATGAGGATGAGGTCCCGGTTGAACTTGAAGTTTTACTCTGTAAAAATAGGCAATGATTCAAAGAGCATGGTAAAAATACAAAAAGTGGAAGAGGTACTGAAAATGAAGTCTTCATGTAAAGAAACCTGACCCCAAAAGGAAATATATACTCACATTCACAAAAATAAATAAATAATAAACAGGAAAAATGTCATTCTATACCTTACTACTTTTGAAGATTTATGCAAAAGTAGCATAAATAGATCAATTTATTAAAATGACTTCACTCCAAAAATTTCCAAACTAACCAACAGTTTGTTAAACAAAAGTATGTAGTGACAACGAAACAATTAAGTCTTGCCCCAATTATATATTGCAACTTCTATGCCTTAGCGGTTCAATAGTTTTTAGTTGTAATTTTCCATATTCTAGACATGCATACTTAATAAGAGAAATGGTTTTTATGATATTAATGAAGTCTGATTGTTAGTTTATTGTAATAACTGCCAGAAAGCAGAAGTGCAGACTTTATGAAAGTGAACGAGGATATTAAGGATTATGAGCATTCCTCAAATATCACAAAGATTCTGCTCACCACAAAATGAAGGTCTAAAATAAATTACAAAAAGAAGATATAATATCATATGTATTTGGATAAAGCATAACATATAGCCAAATGTAATTAGTTTACACGTGAAAAATATGATTTTATGTATTCTGCTATAAGTAACTCCGCATATAGCCAACCCCAAGTAAATAGAATTGAGACAATTTTGGAAGTTATTCCCAGCTTAAGGCATTTGATAGCAAAAACAAATTACTATCATGATAAACCACCCATCACCATAATTAACAGGTATCTGAGGGGAAACACCTTCATGTTTCACTCTAGTTAGTTAACATAACCCTTTATTTTCAAAATCATTTGCACAACACCGCACAGTTCCACTCCAATTGCACTTGGGACCAGTCAGGATGCCATTTAAAGTACAAAATTCACTTCAATCATTTTATGACAGCTACCGAATGATAATGAGATAGATCTTAACAGCTGCAAATGGACTAACAGAGCATTGAGAATAACAATATATACAACTCAACAATTCATTAAAAAATCAGTGCATAAAACAGAAGCTACAAAAGTGACACCCTGCAATCAGAATTGGATATCATTCAATGTATTATCTACGGTTTGGCACTAGGACAAACCAATGAAGAAAATAGGATTCAATTTATTATTTATAGTTTTTTTTTTTCATACAACTGAAGACAGCTACTTTAAAACTAGGTGAAAGCAATATTCCACCCCTTTTATTTTCTTTTTAAGGTTTATGCTCAAATAGTTATTTCAAATATTTTGTTCAGCCACCATTATTTCTCAAGCAGTAGTATAGAATTAACAACACATTAGCAGTGAAAAGGTTACAGAGGGAATACCTTGCTAAGCATGACAACAAGAAAACCATCTTCAGTGACCTTATTTTCTGCCAATGTAGTTTCATCTTTCAATACTTTCCCATTGTGAATCAATAGTTGCTGCCCACAAGGGTAATTGTCCTTTCCTTGCACATCTTCAATATTCTTCTTCACAGCCATTACCTTTTAACATAAACCTCTAATAAATACACGCTTTCCAAAACCATTATGGAATGATAATAATTCACATTATGCATAAAAAAAAAATCTACCAATAAAGCCTCAACTTGCTTGAAGCAACTAAAAGCACATCACTAATGAAAATGTGAAATTAACAGCTAAGAAACCCAAAACTGTTAACACAGAAAAATTGAATATTTACACTTATTAATTTAATTCGTCCCTCCTAAAAAACTTTTTTGATTTTACATAAATCAGCTTAGCCATTGATATTTATAGGGCTTTCAAAAGCTTGAGCTGTTGAGTTTGTTTGTAATAAATTTATATATATACATAAAAGAAGAGCTACTCACTGTATCGGTGGGCTGAACCCTAATTTCGAAATGGCTGCCTTTCAGAGTTTTAACGGTGAGCTTCATATCGGCTAATTGGACAAAGATAGGAGACGTCAAAGCTTAATTGAATGCGAAGAAACCCTAGAGGGAAACGAGACAGAGAGAGAAACGATGGTGATGAAGGTTAATCAAGACAGACAAAGAAAGCAGAACCGAGCTGGATTTCAGTTTTTATATGGTGTGGCCGTATGCAGAGTAGGACACGTGACCTCAAACAAAATTTCTATACCTGTTGCGGTAAACTAAAAAGATCTGCTTCTATACTTCTTTTTTTTTTTTTTTTTGAAAGAGAATACTTCTAAATACCTTATTTTACTTGAAAAAGGAAAAACAAAAGCTCTGCGACTTATTTATTTATTTTTTATATGACTTATTTTTTTTTAGTATAAATTATATGATCTAATTCTTATTTTATCTTATTTTACTAGTTTTGTTTTTGACTTCTATTGCACATTGTCATTATTTGTTATTTAAATAGTTATTACAGTTATTAATCTATTCTTATAAAATATTAAACATGATTATAATTTTCCTTTTATGTTATTTAGACTTTTACAATGTTAGAGTATGATTTCATATGTAACAATTTTGAATTAAATTATATTTCTATAAGTAAATAATATTATTTTTAAACTAACTTTTATATGATAGGGCGATATTACCATCAAGTATATTTAATAACACAATTATAGACGATAAAATGAAAAAAAATATATTATTAATCATAAAATTAGACTTCAATTATCATTTAAAATTCATTAAAAAAAGCTTTTGATTAGAAAGAAGTATTGTTTGATTAGTATTGATGTATTTAGTTTCATCTTTTTATTCATTTTCGCGCAATTGAAAGTGAAATACAATAATAAATAAAAATGGAGTATATAAATACAATTTAAAAATTAAATAGAAATTTTATAGGTGATTTAAAATAAACAAATGCATTATCACTACAAAAACTACTTATAATGATAAATCAATATCCACAGCAAATTACCAAAAGGACTGTTCTACATATTCATGTAACCAAAAAGTATCCTATAAACTGATATGTTTGTTGTTGGTAAACAAAAAAATACCCTAAAACTAACTAAATCAATTAACCTTGGCTTGAATATGGTGGAGGCTGACTTAGGTCCATTGTGTATTGTTGTACTACATAATTACTATTCTCCATCCTGCCAGTGCTGGTTGCAATTCCATTGTCTGTCTCATTATTCCTTCTGACCTTCATTTTCTTCCCTACAGCTGCTTTAATGGTCTTAATTCCACTAGCTTGTGTAGGTCCTACTGCTCTATTAGGTATTTGTATATTTGAGCATTCTCCTTGTCTTCCCAGATTCACTTTTTCATTTAGCCCTAAACCTACATTCTCCAATTTTATCTTATTTTCCCTAGCAAACAAAACTCCTCGTCATCTAAACATTCTCCATCTGCTTTACTATCTTCACTCTCGTCTTCTTGGATTGCATTATTTAACTCAATAGCATCACTACATTCTTCATTAGAATCGCTGATTGCATCATTACTTGTTCTTTTATCCATTGTGCACTGCTCTTCATACATGAATTGTTCTTTTTGGATCCCCTTTTCTATTGTACATTGACCTTGGACTTCATTCTCCATTGAAGCTTCACCAAATTCATCTCCCACCTCCTCATTTGAGTATACATAGTTGGCATGATCATATTCCCTATTTTCCTTAATCCGCATGTCAGTTTGAATGTAAACCTTGAGCCATCCAAATTTCTTCCCTCTTTCAAACATCAATTTCACCTCATCATCATCTCTAGCAAACTCCAATGTCAACCATGGTATATGGGGTTTGTAGTACCCTATTTGTTGCACCTCACCACATCCATATTCTTTAACTTTGTCAAACGCATCAACATATGTCATGGACCCAGTTTGTATCCCGTTCCTTCAACTTCTTCCCACCAATGTAGTTTATCCTTCCACTTTTCTTCCTTTTCTCACCCATATTACCACCTATCCAAACCTCTAAGGGAAACCTGTGTATTGAACATCACAAATACATATATATTAATTCCCCCACCCATATTCACAGCAACATTTGACAAAATAATCACTACTGTCTTAGTCAACAAGCAAAATTGCAAGCATATGATGCAATAAAATACTCAAGGTGGGCAGCAAACAATGCAGTAAACGAGGGCAAATGTGCATAGAAAGAGGAAAATTGTTTGTAAGCAATGGTACAATAAAATGGGGGAAATGAACAATCAATATCATGATAAAGAAATCAAAATGGCAAGCAACAATAATCATCCAAACAAATCAATATTATTGCACGTCAATTAATACTTCCACCAAACAACATTAATTCCTTTTTTCCTAAAACCCTAATTTTTAGAGATTTAAATTAATTTTACTTACCATTTTCTCTTCTTCGCCCACATTTCCAACAATGTCAGTCAAGTGTCTATCTATAATCAAATTCGCTAATAATGAACGTCAGTTTCTGCAAAGAAGTTTCGATAGTGACTGCGAGCAAGTCATTATCAAGAAGGAACAAGAGATGGTCCACGGAGAAGAAAGGCGAGGAGCGATGAAATTAGGAAGAGAGAATCGAGAAATTTAATTTCACCCTGCCAGCGGGGTGCCTTTTACTTATGCTGAAAGAATGAGTTTTGATATTTTCAGGGATTTTGGTTTGGCGAGACACATTTTATATTACTTTATTCAAAATCCTGGTTTTAATTTTAGGGTGACAATATTATTAAATTTCTAAATTGAAGTATTAGAAGGATGAATGTTAATTTAGAGTATTATCGTAATAAATCGCAAATTTCATAATATTTTTAAAAGTTAAGCTCAATTTATTACTCCGTAATATAAATAGTATATCCACAAAACAAGCATTTTTAGTGACTTACAACACAAATAATAACATCATGAAATATCATTATGGTTGTGACTTTCAAGTTCATGTCTTTAATTTTGGTTCTTGTATGGATAGAAGCAACTCATAATAACAATTTCAAATATTTGTATGGACCGACAGAAAAACGTAGGGTTTTATCTTTAATGTTTTTTCTTTTTTTTTTTCTCTCTTTTTGTATCAATAATTATTTATATCGTGGCAAATGTAATGTAAATTGTCTATTTATGTTATGGAAATAATTTGATATTTTACATGGAATAAAATAAAATGTTATATTTCGACTAATTGTGAGTACATGACTATTATGTTTGCTCTATAATACTTATTACCTTTGAAATTTAATATCCTTAAGAAAATTATTAAATTTATTTAAGTTATAATAAATTATTAAATAAATTGATTATATTATCATTAATTTAATACTAATTTTTTAAGAAAACCGGTGTGTCTAGTAATATTTATTACCCTTTGAAATTTTTAAGTATCCTTAAGAAAATTATTAATGTTATGCTAAGTTTATAATAAATTACTTAATATATATGATTATATTTATATTAATTTAATACTAAATTTTTAAGAAAGAAGCCATAAATTGAAGTATGATATATTTGGTCATCATACAAATGATAAATATGAATAAATTATTAAATAAATTGATTATATTATCATTAATTTAATACTAATTTTTTAAGAAAACCATTAAATTGAAGTAATAATTATTGGTCATATACAAATGATAAATATGAAAAAAAATATTTATTATTATTTTTTAAAATTGAAAATGTGATAAATATTATAGAACGAGTAAGTAATTATTTATTATTTTCAACCCTCTTTTATTAAATAGGATTGGTTCAGTGTCATTTCAGTCATCTCGGATCTTTATTGCTGCCATTTACAAAGCTAACTCCTATAAGTTACCTGTTTATGAACACCTACATGACCTTCCCTGTTTTCTTCAGGCTATTCCTCATCTGTACTTCTAGATATATATTATGAGCTTGCTATGAAAATTAGAAAAAGCTTCAATTATCAAAATCTGAATCACACGAACCATATAATGTGATCAATAATAATAATAAAAAAGTTCTAACCATACAATCACACAGCTGCAAAACAATCAAAGGGAACTTTCTTATCCTCAGTACGATGAAACTTTCCCATGGATTTATTGTAAAGGATATATCACCTACTTCCAATTTGAGTTGTTTTCGTTATCACATTCAGTTCTTAATTTGGATTATAAGAATCGCAATTCTTTAAATTTATAGTAACAGAAATCATTAAAGTTAAATAAATAAATAAATATATATATAAAAGGAAACTTACCCATGGATTTCACTGTGAAGGATATATGAATACATTATAACTTGAGAAATTTTTTTTATTACCGAGATTTATTTCTTGATTTGGGTTTTAAGAATTGCAACTCTTTCAATTATTTTTTAGTAACAGAAATTTCGGATAGGTTACATTTTGTAGTGAACTGCAATGGATAATAATTCGCAAATAAGAAATACATAAGCTGTTAAATTAATAAATTTAATAAGATATTAATTAGATTAGTAAGCGACTTCAATTCTTATAAAGAAAATAATACAAATTATGATAATAATCTCATCAATAGATATATTTCAAAAAATAAAAAATAAAGAAATAAAAATTTACGTGACATGATAAATACGAGAATAATTTCTTTTATAAATCAACGAAATACAATTTGTTTCGCTGAAAAAGAAATTACAACTTACTATTATGTCTTTTTTAGGAAGTAAAAGGCAAATTTTGGTTTAATTTTATCACTTTCGTGTGCAAATCAGGTTGCACAAAAGAAACATGTCAGATTCAATGACTCATATCTCATAATTAACTAAAAAAAAAAACCCTCAGAAAATTAGAATGGTATATTTATATAAAAAAAAAAAAAACCCAAATCAAAATCTCAGTACTTTTTAAGTTCTGCGTATTAAATATTTAAATTTTTATTTATTGATATTGAGGCATTCAATTTTATTTCAGCAAAGAATAAATTTTAAACTGCAGAAGAGTACAAGAAATATTAATCATTAAAATAAACACAATAATAATGGTAAATGTGGAAATTTTCCATTCAAAATGAGGGTTTAATTTTGATAAATATAAAGATTTAAGGACTCAATATTGACAAATAAAAATTTAGGATATAATTTTAATAAAAATAATAAAGAATCTCAATCAAATTCAACATACATAACTATCATTTTTCTAATTCTCAGTTAGATAAATGGTTATTTTTAATAAAAATAGAAATTTAGGACTCATTGTTCACAAATTGAAATTCGGAGACTTCATAAACAAAACGCGGTAAATTTAGGGACTTAAATGTCGTTTTTCAATTTTAAATAAAATAATAATAAAAAAACAAAAAGGTGGCGGGATTAAAGGAAACGTGAAAAAGAAAATACAATTAGTTTTTGATTTAAAAACGAAAAGAAAAGAATTTAACGACATACAAACATGGCGCAAAGTTTGAGCGGCTATCCGATAGCTCCGCTTTCCCTCATATTTCACGGGAAACAACAACATCGTCTTTGTCATCAATGCTGCCTCTCTCTTCTATCAGCTTTTCTTTCCTTTCTTTTCACTTCTCTCTGTCTACTTTTCATATGATCATTTCTTCGCCATTACTTTTTCTTTTCCTTTAGAGTCAATGCCTTTGATCTCTTTCCATTTGTTTAAAAAGCCATGATTGATTGATTGATTGATTTTTCTCTTGCTTTTTTTTACCAGTTTCGAATTACACTGTATTTGGTTGAGCTTAGGATCTGTGGATCGCCAGTGTGCTGATTTTTCAGGTCGTTGGAAGACAATGGAGAAGAAGAAGTATCCGATTGGGTCAGAGTTTTATTCTTTGTACGAAGAGGTCGGGCAAGGCGTGAGTGCTTCGGTACATCGGGCTTTGTGTATTCCATTTGAGGAAATCGTCGCAATCAAGATTCTTGACTTTGAACGCGATAATTGTGATTTGGTAAACTAAATTCATTTATTTTCAATTTTGCTTTTTCTGCGTCTTTGTTTATTCGTTTGTGTGTGTTTTTTTAAGTCTGTTTCAGCTTCAATTGCTTTAGTATTACCGTGAAAATGCTAAATGAGCTTTTTGAATATGGTAATTGGTCAGACTTATGAGCATGATTATTTGTTGGATTAAGGTAATAGATCTTTTGCAATTTTTACATTAGAGTTTGAAGTAGTAAAACTGTCATCTTCAGTAGCGAGGACATAATTTCTTGAGGTGTAAATAAAATGCTCAGTGCAAGTCTGCACTAATACGTACATAAATGAATTGCAATTTCTTCATAGAAAGTTGAAAACCATTGATAAGAAAGATGGAGGTTCTTGCTTTTTACAGGAATCTAGATGAGCAGGCATGTTTGTAGTATTTTCTTCATTGTAGGATCTTGTTGTAATTTGTACTTTTGAATAAGTATTATTTAACTTTTAAGCTTAGATGCTGAACATACAAAAATTACAAGAGAATTGGCAAACAGTGATGCGTCCATTATATACTTTTGCATATTTCTTCCATTTTCCCAAGTATAGAGACATTACTTTGTGTTTCAATACCCGACTTATTCTGTGGAGACCATGGAAAGTGACTGAGCTAGAGTAAATTTGTGGTCCACGGCCGATAGGGTCTTTTGCATCAATTTTGTTAGCATGAAAGTTCTTGTCTGTGTTTTTTCCTATTCTTTCATTGTTGACTATATATGTCCCCCTAAATATGTGTTGTCCACAGAGTAACATCTCTCGTGAAGTGCAAACAATGATCTTGGTTGACCATCCAAATGTTCTGAAATCACACTGCTCCTTTGTTAGCGATCATAATCTGTGGGTTGTTATGCCATACATGGCTGGGGGTTCTTGTCTTCACATATTGAAGGCTGCTTATCCAGATGGTTTTGAGGAGGTAGTGATAGCAACAGTACTACGTGAGGTATTGAAGGGCTTAGAGTATCTTCATCATCATGGACACATACATCGAGATGTTAAGGTGAGTAATTGATTTCTTGTTAGCAATAAGTTACTGTAAGCATTTCATTTTGGCTTTATTTCATGCCTCACAAAGTCTCTTCATGTTTTTTATCAAGCAGCTTGGGCATGCAATGTTTTGAGTATTTTGTTTTGTGAACTTTAAATATTTAGGCTATTCCTTAGAATGACTAGTGATAGGAGAAGCAAGACCTTACTAAGAAGTTGGTGGCAAAAGGATGCGACATTACTAATCCTGTTTCTGGAGCAGTACAATCACATGTTTGGTACTTGTATGGGAACTGGCTTGCATTTTAAACATCATTGAGAGGACTTATTCTTTGATTTTGGACTTAAAAACTAATATGTAAGGGTTGTTGCACGGGCAAAAGTTGATACTCATATTTTTCTAGATTTGATTCTCTGGTTGGTTGTGTGATTCAAGAGTGGACTGTATCATTAAAAATGAATTTAGTTTCAAAAATTCAATGTCTAAATTCAAGTTTTTGAAAATGGAAGTATCAAATATAACTTATTTTAAACCTGGAACTTTTTTTTCTTTACTTAAATTCTCTCCATCTGTTTTCTAATTTCTATTGGAATGGTATAGAGAATTAGGAATTATGTATAAATTTCTTTTGAAGAAAAAGATTTAGGATATTTTAACATCATTTGGCTAATTGAGAGATTAGTTGTATGCTTGAGTAGGAAAGGAGTTTGAACATTACTAATTGGTGTTTAAACATTTTGCCTTCAAATATCAAATCCAGTATTGTTAATTTATTAATTTGGCAAATAAATTTCTATCTGTTAGTCATTTTCAAAAGTACAACTCATTTTTAAGTTCTTTCATTATTATCTTATGGTCTTTATAGGCGGGAAATATTCTCATTGATTCACGTGGTGCTATCAAACTGGGAGATTTTGGTGTTTCTGCTTGCCTCTTTGATTCAGGTGATAGGCAACGCATGAGGAATACATTTGTGGGAACACCTTGCTGGTATTCTTCTACTTTAAGAATTAAACAACATTTTAACTTCATAAAAGATAAGAATTTAAAAACTAGCAAGAGATACAGAACATTGATTTCCAAATTTTAAGATCTCAATATCATCATTTCACCATTTTCGAAATCGAAATTGTTCTATTGACGTTTCAGACTTGAACAAACATGCTAAGCTTTGTCTTGTCTTGAGCAAAAGGTAATAGAAATGTTATTAAAAGCCAATTTATTTTTTATTTGAAAAGTTTAAGGATGAGCATACATCTTCAGATCACTTATATTTGAGTACTTCTTTTTATCAATAAAACAATTGAAGATCGTAACTGATAGATTTTTGTTCTCGGTGGATCTAGTTAGAATTGATAATATTAAAACTTCAATTATTAGGAAGTTTCTTCGCTAAGAACCTTATTCTTATTTATAATCCACAGTTACTCATATATTTGTTTTGCAGGATGGCACCTGAGGTCATGGAGCAGTTACACGGATATGATTTCAAGTTAGTTTATTTTTTCTCTCAAGAGTTTCTCCGTCTCACACTGACTGGATAGGTGACATTGATGTTCTGTTTGGAAATTTTCCTACAGGGCTGATATTTGGTCTTTTGGGATAACTGCTCTAGAGCTTGCTCATGGGCATGCTCCATTCTCAAAATATCCTCCAATGAAGGTGCAAACATAGACATATTCATATATTCACACTATTAACGTCATATTTAGTAAAGCACTACTACTGTAATTTCAATCTGAAGCAATATTTCTCTTGAAAGGTATTGCTTATGACTTTGCAAAATGCACCCCCTGGCCTGGATTATGAAAGAGACAAGAAGTTCTCTAAGGTGCGCTTTCAAAAAGCTATTGAAGTTAGCACCCATTTGGCTTAATTATGTTGCATGATGTACACTTTCTCTCTTCTTCAGTCTTTTAAGCAGATGATAGCTAGTTGCTTGGTAAAAGATCCTTCAAAAAGGCCTTCTGCAAAGAAGTTGTTGAAGCATTCCTTTTTTAAGCAATCCAGGTCAAGTGATTACATATCAAGGACACTTTTGGAGGGATTGCCTGCGCTTGGTGATCGTATGAAAGCATTAAAGGTTAGTCAGCTAATTTTGGGGAGATGAGTACTGATAAAATTGCCTGAAATAGTCCAAACTGTGATTATATTATACTTAAAATTGGTGTCATTTGAAATATAGAGAAAGGAAGAGGATATGCTTGCACAGAAGAAGATGCCAGATGGGCAGAAGGAGGAAATATCACAGGTTGGAAAATTTAAATTTATTCATGTAAAGAGAAAAAATTGTTTCATTCTATTTCTTTTCCCAAGTTGATTGTGTGAAGAAATAAAATGTTGATTTATGTTTTTACTTGCTTAAGTTGTCTTCTTTGATTCTGAGTTACCTTGGCTTTTTTTCATCTTATTTCTTTAATAGATAGTCAGTATCCTTGTCCCTTTAACAGTGTTTATGCTCTCTCATCAACAACCATTTGTACATTACAACATCAACATTAAAATGTGGAATATGGCTCTTCCTAGAAAATCTGTAAACTTTATACATGTAAAAGAAAATGAAGAAAACAAGGAAATTATAGTCTAAGTTTTTCTTTTGTTCCTAACATCACAATTTTATGAACATTTTGAGTTTTAAATCCAAATTTGTAAGTTGATTTAGAAATTAGGTTTTTCATCAAATAAATGATCTCAGGTGCACTATGAATTTGGATCATGTTTTTGGTATTTTCATGCTTCGAAAAAAATGGTTTAAGAGTATGAATTTCTTCAATGTTACTTTGTGTTCTGACAATGATTTGTATACTTTGGCTGTATGCTTATCCTAGATTTTCTTATTTCCTTATGAATGTATGCAGAATGAATATAAACGAGGAATTAGTGGTTGGAATTTCAATCTTGAAGATTTGAAAGCTCAAGCTTCCCTGGTATGGAAACAATTTCTGTTGTTTTCTGTTATAATCGTTAAATGGAACAATGAGTAGTATCACACTATGTTTTCCCTATCAGATACAAGATGTTGAAGACCCTATAGCTGATAATAATCTGGTGGGAAGCTCCAGTTCATCACTTGCAATCAATGGGCTTGAGAAGCAATTAGAGTCCCAACAATGTCCCTCGGGACAAGTTGCAGAAAAGGTATTTCAATATTCTGGTTTGGAAGCTTGTGAGTTGTATTTTAATCTCTATTTTCCATTTGATGGGTTCTTTAGTTTCTCATGGTCATATATTTCACAGGACAATAATGATCTGAAGCAAAATCGACCCACTCCTCTTCCATCAGTTAACTCATCTGTAAATATTACGAAGTATGTTTCTACCTAGATGCATAGTCATTGTTAATTCATTTAGAGTTATATGAAGTAATCAGAACACAGAGTATGAGTGTTTCTAAAAGGGAAAAGTAAATTAGAGTTCCATATGAATGCTGCATCATTTTATCTTTAATTATTGTTAATTGGAAGTGCTTTTGATTATGCTGACTTAGATCTAATGAAAGATTTTTCTGGACTTAAGATTTAATGAAAAATATGATTCATTTTCCAGATTTATATTTGAAAAATCTGATGATGACTCCAGCATTGCAAGTCCATCTTGTGAACAATATGTTTCACAGGATACATCGCCCCGACGAGATGATAATCTGGAAAACAATGTGACTGGAAAACCTATTTTTGAGATCAGTGTAAAATCAATGGAGCGCATACCTTCTCTACAGAAAACAGGAAGTCCATCAGGTGGCTCTACTTTAGCAGAAAGTATTATTCCTCATAAAGGAGAAAGGTTTGACACTGAATTCTTACAGAATAATGGAAACTTTTTTGCATGAATGAAATGCTTTTCTTGAATTGCCTAGTTTTTGCCACCCTTTAACACATAATCAGTTGAAGTCAGGCAGAATTGCTTTTATAAAAGTAACTAGTCAGTTTTCTTCCAATTATTTAACATCACTTGCTCTTATATATATATTTTGGTGATTGTATTTCTAGAACTTTCACAAGTTGCTTTCAGATTAGAACAAATTGGAGTTTGGGAACATATGGGATAATTTACATGGATAAATGATAACCATCACTAACATATCAAGTTAATTTCAATTATAAAAGTTATTTATTTATTAAAGATGTAGGCAACTTTATTCTTGTCTTTGAAAAATGTTTTTAACATTTTGAAGCCTTGACAAACATAATCTTGACTAAATCTTTGTATAAGGCCTAGTCTGCTTGTTATTTATGCAAATGAGTTGCATTCTAAGTTTTTTTTGTTCTCTCTGCAAGGTTTTCTGGGTAATATTCTTATTATTATTGCTGGGATGTGGTGAATTAATTTAACATAGGAGCTAGACCTTTCAGCTACACAGATCTCTAAAGCAGTAATAAACTAGAGAAGTTTGCACAGAAACCACAATCTTTTGGAACTCAATTTTCATGTGCAACTCCTATACTAAAATTGTCCATAATCTGCAAACTTGTCTTTTTCCATATTTTTGCCAAGCCTTTCTCTTGTAACTCAAAGGCTTTACTGTTGTCAAAAGCAAGCAAAGGATGGGAAGAAAAAGAAGAAAGATACAAGGGAGAAAGAGAAAGTATAAGGGAGAAAGAGGGAAATTGCATTTCATTTGCTATTATGTTGTTAAATTTAACATGTATTCACCAAGCTTTGTGTGATTTACAGTGATAAGTTGCAAAATCAACGACAAAATAATTCAAGTCCAGAGTGTAATGATGTGCCTTCTGAAATTCCTTCTAAAGCATCTAAACTATCAGGCAAGCACTTTTCATTCTCATTTTGGTGCAAACTCTTCTCAATTTTTCCATGAATAGCTCTACTTTCTTAATCTGACAAGGCAACTTTTGCTTTCCCATTTAATCAAAGTATTCTTGCAACAGCACCAAACAATGATGAACCTGATGAGAAAGCAAAACCCCCAGTTGTTCAGCAAAGGGGACGTTTCAAAGTTACTTCCGAGAATGTTGGTATAGAAAAGGTGACTTGGAGGGTTTTGGTGTTCACGTCGATTTTTTACATAGACAGGATATAACTCGTCTTTCCTTTTCAGGTGACTCCAAGTCCTATATTGCAAAAGAGCCATAGCATGCAGGTTGGTAGGTCTGAGGTCAGCACATTTGTGCCAAGTTGTCGGATAGATTGCTCCATTTACTATTATAATTTATGGTTATCCTAGAGCTTGCATTATGATTAAATGAGCCACTTTTGAAAGATCTTTTAAGAGTTTTCTGTTTCTTAAACCTCCAGAAAAATTGAATACTTACTCTTCAGCCGGAACTCTGCCTGATTCTGAATTAGACCACAACCGACTGGAATTAGAACTGATAGGTTTGGGCTGATTCAGATCCTTTGAGGCCACTGAATTGACAATCTAGGCGTATTAGTGTCAGTTAAATTGCTTTATGCATAAATTATGGTAGATGCACCTTGAAAATTTGCATGCTTGTATTTCCTGTTGATTGAACTGACAGTTCCAGGCATATAAGTGTCATTTTAAACATACTCTCTTGTTAGTTTCTTAGAAAGGAGATGGCCTACATGTTAACTGTTGAGAATGGTGTTGAGCTTCCACCTTAGGTTTACTGTTAGATTGTCATGAAGAGATATTAAATTATAAAATGAAACCTTCCTTTTGCCCAATACCAAATATGTAACATATGCACACACATGCATGAAACAAAATACATAATTTCATCTAAACCTTATTGTGCCCTGTCTTATGGCAATGCTATTGCTTATCTAGGTGCTTCACCAACATACTACACTTTCTATACCAATATCAGCACCATCTGATGCCACATCATCAACTCTTTCTGGTCATTCTCTGTTTCCACTGCTAAATTCTGTTTTGCAGACAAATATTCATCAAAGGGTATGTATCATCCAGTGTAGTTTTAACTAGCTTTTTTTTTTAAAAAAATATAATTATTGATTTTTCATTTGTCATTGATGTTTTTGGTGTTGCTGCTTTGTTCTTTTCTCTCGACAGGATACTATTCTTAATCTAATGAAGCAAGTTTCAAATTGTGACACTCCAGGTGCAAGCAATTGCTGATCTTGCATTTCCCAACCCCCTTTTTTGGGTTAAAACTAGGGACCTTACCTTGATGTTCTCTTTATCTTTCTAGCTAATCGTCCCGTTGATGGAGGATCCACGCTGGCACAAGTAGGTTCCTCAGAGAGGTCTTTGGTATGTAATCGGGCTCTTTATATTGTGCTGTAGAGAATTTCCAACCAAATTGTCATATGACTCTATGTTGGCTTTGTGATAGATTTGCTTCTGCAAGGAGTGCTATTCTGCTTTCTACAGATAAATTTAAGAAATGTGACATCTTTTTTCCTCTTTTTGGTAACTTGAAATAGCTTTAAGAAGAGAGAGTATATATTAATTGATTCTACAATTAGTTTCATGTTAAGTTTACAGAGTTCTGGTCCTTCTGGAATTGGTTAACAATGGAGAACATAGGTAAAAGTCGTGTGGACATAAAGATTGGAAAATATTTTGATGCCTAGATTTTTAGCTTTTGATAGCAAAACTGCTCTTCTATTCTATTATTCATTTTTCTGTTCATGTCCCATCACAAAGTATAGAATCAGTCAAAGCTAGAACTATTCTTGCTGTTGAAGCTAGATGATTTCCATAGAGAAGATTAACATGGAAGTGCTTGTACAGTTTATAAATAATGATTTCCCATCATTATTTCTTTTTTCCTTTTCCCTGTCTCTTCAGATGATTTTGGAGAGTACAGGTTTTTCTGAAAGGTTTGAACTACCTCTGAGTAAAACCATTCCATATCCATTAGACATAATGATTTTTGTAAACTGAGTTTGCACTCTGCATTTTCTCATGTTGGAGAAGGGCGCATTAAATTTATTGCCACTTTTTACGTTTTTTATTCCTTACTAGAGGCTGTGATTTTGAACTTACACGAAAAATCCCTATAAAGTTGCATTCTAATTTTAAAGCTGAGGATTATGCATGAAATTTTGCAGCTAGAAGCAGCTCATGATAGGGAGAAAGAGTTACTTCATGAAATAACTGATTTGCAGTGGAGGTACTTGTAATGTAATTCAGATGCACATGTGCACTAAGATCTAAATATACTTATGTCTCATTTTGCATATACAGGCTTATATGTGCTCAAGATGAACTCCAAAAATATAGAACAGAAAATGCTCAGGTTACTTTCAATATCCTCTGTTCACATTATCACTTCTACTGTTTAGCCTGTCGATCATTGTCTAATACAAGATTTTCAGGTATGATTTCGGATTTGACCTCGCACCGGGATGGTGATTATCGAACAACTTTCACAAAACCCATTACAAAATGCAGATGAATGAGAGAAAGGAAAACACAGATGACCAACAGATACATGATTAAGTATTATTGTTAGCTCATTATTATTTGTAGCATAGGTTTGTTTTGGTATTTTTTAGGAGGAGAATGTTAGTTGTTACGCTGCTTGTGCAGATTCATCAATGGTACTATTAATTGTACATGATTTATATTATCTTATCCAGGCCAACTTGGGAGTTGTAAATATATACCTTTGAGCTTAGAAGTAGGCAACTAAACGTATTCTATACTGACTTGGGTAACAAAATGTGTATTGTCGTTTTCTTTCTCTTTTGTTTTTGTTGGTTGGTTGTTTTTCAATCCTCATTTCCATGTTTTTATGATGAAGACGCTGTCGTCTGCTTTTCCAAGACGACAATAAGTGATTACAATTAACAATCAGTTACACTTGGTAGAATTAACGGTTTATGTCGTTTACCAATAATAATAATAATAATTAACTTTATTTTTACTGGTTGATTATAATGAAAAAAAAAAAAAAAACATTTTTTTTTTTTGTTTTTTTTCAATCCTCATTTCCATGTTTTTATGGATGAGCAACGCTGTCGTCTGCTTTTTCCAGACGACAATGAAGTGATTCAATTTAACAACAGTTTACACTTGGTAGAATTAACGGTTTATGTCGTTTAACTCAATACCTAATAATAATAATTAAAACTTTATTCTTTACTGGTGATTATAATGAAAAAAGAAAAAAAAAAACATTTTTTTTTTGCGCTTATTTTCTGTCAACCAAATTGGACAAATGCGAGTGGCGGGCGGTTAGAAAAAAAAAAAAAAAACATTTTTTTTTTGCGCTTATTTCTGTCAACCAAATTGGACAAATGCGAGTGGCGGGCGTTAGAGGTCAAATTGGGAGCCTCTGCTTGAGAGTATTTTCTTACAGTTATTAATTTAATTTTAAAAATATAAATAACTCAATTCACATAGTATTTCATGTTAGAAAAAGAATTCTTTCTAGATGGTTCTTTAAACAACAGAAAGTTAATTACATAATTCGCATTTTGTATTTTTTTTTTAAATTGTACCCTAGTTTATACAATTAAAATTTTTTTATTTATTTTTCTGATTTTTAAATATGAGGAATAGAATTTCATGGTTTTTGTTTTGTTTGCTATAAAACAATTAATTATTACTGCTAATTTTTTTTCACTACGTCGAAATTTGATTTTTTTTTTCTGTCAACAATTATATGTATGATATCTTATATTTTCATATAAAAATATTTTAATATTACAATCAAAATTTAAAAAAATCATTCAAAATATTTTCCTAAAAAAGGATAGAGCCAGCTCCTTCGGTAGGACTGAGCATTAGTAGAAACTCACCGAAAACTCAAAACCGAATCAACCTGTTCAACTTGGTTTCAATTCAATTCAACAGGAACAGTTCGAATTCAGATCACCAACTTTTTTTTTCAACATTTAAAATGGCAAAATATTAGCAGAACGAACCAAATTGATCCAAATCAAATCAGTTTAGTTATTTTCTTGGTTTGCTTGGTTTCAGCTGCACACATTTTTTCTTCAGCTTTCAATCGATTTGATTTGAAAACAGAACCGGCCGATGCACACGAGCAAGGGAGAGAAACAATAACTTCTATACTCTGGTATACATTATAGTTATCGGAAACGATAGCCACCTTGCACCCTTCATTCCCAGAAAGATGAACAAAATAATTTCTCATTTGTTGTTTCTCCACATTGAAACAACTTTTCCAGTAAACTAAAGAACGCAAAATAAAAATATTCTTCAAACATTTATATTAAACAAGTTCAGAAGAATATCTATACTCAACAAGGTTTTAAACAGCAAATAAATATGGAATCATCTCATTGTACCAAATACTAACCATCCAGATTTGGCGTCATATCAAATGACAGAAGGATCTTCTACATCCAGAAAAAGTTACAGCAAGCTGAACTAGTTGAACAAGAACTGAATTACCAATTATCATCAGATTTCCGCTCGATCCAGCATATTTACCAAAGCTATCCTTCTTGGGACCTTGAACGGCAGTTTCAAGCTGAAAGAAATCACGAGGGTTCTTACATATAAGAGACAAATGAGTTACATATGTAGCAACAAATTACGAGGCCAAAAAACACAAATCCTATCAGCTTCAGGGATGCTCTACTGACATTAGAAGGCACATCCAAAACTTGCAATTCTCAAGGCTTAAAACCAAAAAATATTAAATTAAATATAATTCTAATGCTAACCTTATAGGAACACAGTTTTTGTTTTAAGTCTTTTAAAGTTTCCTAAAATTCAAACAAATAGACAGTCAACAGGCAATTTTCAAAAAACTATTTCAAAAAACAAACAGCAACTTTAAAAAACTAGAAATTGATATGACAGTGACGCCAAACACAGTGGAACAAGAATGCAGCTCTATCGTATCATTACCCTTAGCAGACATTCCAAGACCAGGATGCTACTCCATGAATTAACACCAGCAGAAAATAAGCCAGAACAACGAAATACTTCATAAAGCAGACTTTCATTTGTAGTTAAGCTTTAGCAGCTTGCATCCAATCATGGACACTAAAACAACTACAAAACTAATTCCCCTTCGGCATCATGCTAGCAATGAAAGCAAGAAATGACCAACATAAGAACATTCAAAATCTGAGCAAGGGTGAAAAAGGAGTTAAGAATGGCCACATACTACTCGTAAGCAGCAGCAAAGAATTTCCTATATCACATGTTAACCTTTTTTACGGGTAACACATAGAACTCATCAAGAAAACAGAAAAATGCAAGGGTAAGCAGGCAGTCAATAGTTGTCCAAAAAACAAGTTGGGGGCAGTAGCCCATCACACTATCAAGGAAGTTATAATTATTTTAAAATGTTTAATTTATAGTCTATAAGAAGGCCAAAAGTGTACAAATCACACACAGTAGGAACCAAAAATGGAAGTGAAAGAGAAAATGAATCCAGAAATTGTTTTCGAAACAATGATAATAACTGTAATTTCATGGTTGACCTTCTTCCTCTTCCATACCCACAGACCAAAATTGAAATTCTCGAAGCAATATATTAAAAAACATGTCACATGATTTATTTTAAAGAAACCATGAAAAAACACATTTTCAAGTCGGTTAATAAGACAGTAAAAGAAGGCTCAGATTCGCATTTTACCAGACAGAAAGGCCGTGTACTGTATATGAATTCCAAAGAATTCATCTTTAATTTCAAATTTCATGTTTGGTATGAACTAGAAAGTTCTTTTCTATCATCAATAAATGAACTATACACTTGAATTCATTTATACAACACATCCATGGCTGCAAAAGTAGCTATTTGTCAAATAAGACCCTCAAGTCACCCCGCCAAAGGAAGCATCTGTTCCCTACAAATCTACAAATGTTATAAAGATATTTTGCATGAAAACAACAAAAGCCCAAACAGAAACAGAGAAATCTGTAGAGATAGTAGGCTCAGATCAGATATGCCTTCAAATCGGACAAGAAGAAACACCATAACAGCATGGCTGCAACCATCAAAGATCGCCCCGCCAAGAAATCGAGTATTTCTCTTCGAGTCTGATCTTTTAGGGTCACTGAATATATCATCAAAGCCACACACACAAAAAAAGAAGGTATATATATATATATATATGCAAGGGCTGTTGCCAACGTAAAAAATGTAATCAGTGATCACTGGCTCCGCTATCTATCAGAGAGGACGGCGTCAACCACCCCGAAACCCACCGCCTCTCTCTAAGAGCAAAGCCTCATACTTAAACTAACGAGGGGATTTTTATTTATTTATTTTGAGAATAGATATATCGAATTGTAAATCCCTGGCTTTTTCTATTTCCCGATTCTCTGTTTATGGGATATGATAGTAACATAATTACATATTTACCCTTCGACGTGCATCCTGTTTGGGCAAAGAAGATGAAGGGGTATTATGATAATTTAAGCATAATTCACCGTTCACAAAATAACCCTCCGCGGACCGCAGTCTTAAATTTCAAGCAATTTATTATTATTTATATTTATGCTTTAATTGATTTAACTCATAAGCCGTTGAATAAAAAAATTTGTTGGAAACAGATAATAAACTATTAAATTGAATAAAACTAATAGGATTTGTAATTTAATTTTTTAATCTATGTAATTTTTTTAATTTTATATAAAAATAAGAAATTCTGTAAATTTAAGAACTTTACGCTATCTACACGTTTTAATTTTATTATCTAAATTATCATGAAAATAAAAGCTTACATTTTAAATTAACAAGAATGCAGTTATAACATGACCTGACTATTCAATTTGCTAAGTGCATGTAACTTTTGATTTATGTATATTAAACATAATAGCTCTTTAAAAATTACTCTCCAATTTATCATCTTTATAGCTTTTAAATACAATGACTCTTGATGTTCTCTTATAGTTTTTATGATTTTAAACATAATAGCTCTTTAATTCTATGACTTTTGGTGTTCTCTTATTATGATTTATGAAATTTTATGATTTTTATGACTTAAAAAAATTATGACTTTAAAAATAATGGCTTTTATTATTATTTTTTATGAGTTATTAAACTCTTGAATATTGTTGTTTGTGCTCTTACTATTATTTTCTCTCTTCAAATCTTTTTTTTTTCTCTTTTCAGAAAAAAATAATATACACATTATTAGCTTGAAGAGTGAGACTCTATTTGAAGAGTGAGAGTCTCTAAAATTTGAACATTTGGTATTAGCTTTTAGTTAGGAAAAATTGAAGATCTCATAGAAAAACTGTCTCCCTTACCTCTCTGATTTCTGGATGTTAAACATAATACCTCTTTAATAATTATTCTCTAATTTATGACATTTATAGCTTTTAAATGAAAAATAACTCTTGATATTTTCTTATGATTTTTATAGTTTTTAAACAGACTAGCTCTTCATAACTTTTAATATTCTTTTTAATTTATAAGTTCTATGACATTCAAACACAATGACTTTTAATGTTCTTTCTTGTTATGATTTATAAAGACTTTAAAAATAATGGCTTTTAATATTTTTTTTGAGTTTTAATGCTCTTGAATATTATTGTTCATGTTCTTATTATTGTTCACTTTTCGGATTTATTTTCTCGAAAAAAAAAACTACACAGTTGTGCGAAGCATAAGAGACCTCATAGTCTAGCAGATTTTTAAAGATCAACCTTGAACCAATACCGGGTACTGAATGTCCAATAACAATAACAATGACAATAAGAATAAAGTTGACGACAAAGAAATTGTTGTGGTTAACTTAATATTTCTATCTAGTATGGAAGTCCAATTCTGCCTAGTATCACCTAATACAATTTAATTCAGACAAAACAAAGTGATGGTTTATTGTTAGGATTCTAATACTTTTTATGACGTGTGTTGAACGGATACTCATTTTTTTGTATTCTTTTAATTTGTTTTATGTATATAATATTAAAACATAAGTTTTTTGTTTAAATTAAAATAAATAAAATTGATTAATTTGTATTGAATTTTGTCGTCCAAATGCTACTTTTTATGTATTTAATTCTATTTTATATAATGAAGTGATCTCAAAATAAAAGTTCAATCCAATCTCTAGAATCCTTAAGTCTCTAATTTATAAATGAAGATTTTTTAATGCAATATATATATAATGAAGTGATCTCAAAATAAAAGTTCAATCCAAGTCTCTAGAATCCCTTAAGTCTCTAATTTAATAAGAATGAAGATTTTTTTAATGCAATATAAATATATATATATTAATATATATATATATATAATAATATATAATAATATATATATATATATATCATCTGTTAGTATATCTATTATATATATAGTCATTGTTAGTATACTATTATAATTAATTGATTATACTATTGTAAGATAGCTATAAATGACCATCAATTAAGAAGCTAATTAAGGCTGACTATACTGTTGTAAGATAGCTGTAAATGACCATCAATTAGGGAGCTAATTAAGGCCGTAATTGTTAGCCATAATTAGGAGTCAATGGGTATCAATTAGGGAGGTAATTTAGGAATTTATTCCCAAATTTGTGAGATACTTTAGCCTATTTAAACCCAATCAGCTTGAAGGAATAGCAAGCAAATTCTATTGAAATCCAGCAAGTTTGTCATGGTATTAGAGCCATGGTCAGGCAATTTTAGAGCTGTTTTTTTATGAGTTTCAGCTTTGATTTTTTTTTTTTTTTTTTTAAGAAAGTTTTTTTTTTTTTTTTTTTAAGAACAAAGTACAGGTTTTACTGCCTCTGATTTTGCAGCTTCTGTTTTTGCTTTCCTTGTTCAGTTCATATCTTTGATGAACTCTCGGTCATAGAAATTCTGGATTTGTATTTGGAGGTTCTCTTCATTTGGAAAAAATTATGGTGGACATTTTTCTATCCTGCGACTTTCTGACTGTAGGATTTTCATCTTGGTGGATTTGCTACTTCTTCTGGTTGACCTGCTCCTGGTTTTGTTATTACTAATTTTGCATTTCTGGTCTCCTTGTGCTATTTGAGATGGCCACTTCAAACACAGTTGAGAGTTTTCATGTTCATTTCACCAGAAAAAATTACTCTTTATGGAAATTCCAATTCTAGCTCTTTGTTACAGGAAAAGAATTGTTGGGTCATATCGATGGAAGTGATCCAGCTCCTAAAGATGCTAAGGAGTGAAGATGCTAAGGAGTTGCTTCACTGGACAGTTAAAGATGCAAGAGTAATGATATGGATTCTAGGGTCAGTCGACCCTCTTATTGCTCCTAATCTGAGGTCTTCTAAAACTGCAAAAGCCATGTGGGATTACTTAAAAAAGATCTACAATCAAGACAATGCTGCAAGATGTTTTCAATTGGAAAGTGATATTGCTAATTATTCCCAAGAATATTATTCTCCATTCAAGAATATTATTCTGGTTTGCAGAATTTATGGGCTGAGTTTACTGCCACTATTTATGCTAAAGTGCCTACAGAATCTCTCTCTGTACTTCAAGAAATTCATGAGCAAAGCAAAAGAGGTCAATTCTTAATGAAGTTGAGATCCGAATTTGAGACACTTCGCTCAAATTTAATGAGTCGTGTTCCTTCCACCTTCTTTAGATGTTTGTTTTGGTGAATTACTTCGCGAAGAACAACGTCTTCTCACTCAAAAACTCTCTCCAACAAGAAAATACTGTCAAGGTTGCTTTTGCTGCCCCAAGGAAAAGGAAAGGGTCGGGATATGAGCAGAATTCAGTGTTGTAGCTGCAAAGATTATGGGCATATTGCTGCCAATTGTGGAAAGAAGTTTTGTAATTATTACAAACAGTTAGGACATGTCATAAAGGAGTGTCCAACACGGCCTCAAAATCGAAAAGCGAATGCTGCCCCAATTGAAACAAATAATCTCACTCATTTTGCTGCTCCAACAATTTCTACAACTCCCTCTTTATTTGCTGAACTTGTGGTTCTTACTCCATAAATGGTGCAACAAATGATTATTTCAGCCTTCTCTGCCTTATGACTACAAGGTAAAAATACCTCCCCCTCTCAACTTTGACTTGTTGATTCTGCTGCCTCAAATCATATGACAAATACATCTAGCATGCTTAACAATGTTTGCAAGTATCATGGTTCAACTGAAATTCAGATTGCAAATGGCAGTACAATACCTATTACTGAGATTGGAGATCTTAGACCATGTTTGAACAATGTTTTTATGTCTCCAAAGCTCTCAACTAAGCTTCTTTTGGTTGGTCAGTTATGCATTTCTCTCGTAATGCTTATCTTGTGCAGGATCAGGCATCGGGGACAATAATCGCGAAGGGGCCTAAAGTTGGGAGGCTATTTCCACTACTATTTTCTTTTCCTCGTATCTCTTCATTTTGTACTACGATTATTAGTAAGAGTGAACTATGGCATAAACGTTTAGGTAATCCTAATCCTGTTATTTTGTCTCATTTATCTATGGCATAAACGTTTAGGTAATCCTAATCCTGTTATTTTGTCTCATTTATCAAATTCTGATTTCTTGGGCAATAAAGAACTCCTTGCTAAGGTTCCTTTTGATTGTTCCACATGTAAACTCGGTAAAAACAAAACTCTTCCTTTTCCTTCTAATGGTAGTCGTGCTGTCCATTGTTTTAATAGAATTCATAGTGATGTCTGGGGCATTACGCTCGTTATTTCTCATGCTCAATACAAGTACTTTGTGACTTTATTGATGATTACAGTAGATATACATGGGATATACATGGGTATACTTCATTATAAATATGATATATATTATATTTTCAAGACCTTTTTGCCTATGTTGAGACTCAGTTTTCTACTTGTATTAAAGTATTACGATCTGATTCTGGAGGAGAATACATGTCTAATGAATTTCAAAAGTTTCTTCGTGAGAAAGGCATTGTCTCACAACGTTCATGTCCTTATACACCACAACAAAATAGAGTTGCTGAGCGTAAAAATCGTCATCTTTTGGATGTATAACCCAAACTTTATTAATTGAATCTTCGATTCCATCTAAGTTTTAGGTTGAAGCGTTATCTACTGCAACTTATCTAATTAATAGAATGCCTTCTCATGTATTAAATCTTAACTCCCATATTTTCGTCTGTATCATCAATATCCTAATTATCATGATTTACATACATTTGGTTGTGTTTGTTTTATTCATCTACCTTCTCATGAACCTACCTTCTCATGAACATCATAAACTTTCGGCTCAATATGTTAAATGTGCGTTTATGGGTTATAATTCTTCTCAAAAGGGTTTTGGTTGCTATGATTCAACTTTTAACAAATTTCGTGTTTCTCGAAATGTTATTTTCTTTGAGCATCAATAT